GCTACGTCCCATGTTATAAATGGTATATGGCAGTGGCAGAGGCAAAAACAAACACTATAATCTGGAAATTAATCAAATCTGTAACTGCTGAAGTTCCAGTGTGGTGAGCTGACTGTAATATTTATGCATTGCATAGTAACTTCCAAATTATGCATAGCCTTTGAAAACTGTAGTTTTTGAAGACTTTCTCACAACAGGGAAAAAAACCTTGAAATTACTTGTTATCTTCATGAAGAACCTTAATGAAGAATTATATCCATAGCCTGGACTAAGCTGGATGGGTCTTTAGGGGTCATAATCATCACTTTGAATTTGACCTGGAAATAGACTGGGTGCCAATGGAAAGTACACTTGTAAAATTCCACACATCTAGGAACATGTAGTGAATATATGCAAGGGAATGCTTTGTATATGGATTTCCAATTAATTCCTTCACATTTCCACTTAAAATGGAATAAAGAAAATGAAGGATTTCCATATTTAGAATCAAGAAAGATATGTTTTTATCTCTAAAGTTTTCCAAGAATGTTAGTCTTGTGGCACTCTTATGTTCTATCACACATCCATAGGATGTTCTGATAGTAATATCTATCTAATAGCAGAAACTGCTTTGTAGAATTAAGATTTACTCTATTCATATTGAAGGTTTGATATATGGTAGGGAGGAAGAGGTTTTTTGATTTGTTAGTGTTGAGTGCTTTTGTTTCTAACCCTCTCTTCTGTTCTGGCAACCTTCAGCCTGCATGGGAAGCTCAGAGAAGTGTTTTAGCTTGACAGTAACTCTTTCCAGCATGCTAAAGGGAGAGACTTGTGTCAAGTCACCCAACGGCCTTCATAGCTGAGCAGGGATGTAAACCTTGGGCTTCCCTACCCAAACCCAATATACGAGCCACTGTATGACACAGAATCTGTGGTACATTTTCTGTTCTGCATTCTCTCAAAAGAAAGCATGGAATCTGTAACAAACATGTTCCAAAAAGGATGCTTGCATTGTTGCATTAAATGATACGGATAGTAGCCAAGCTTTTAGTTGAATTTGGCAGAGCTCTAAATCTCTGCCAGCATACTTACGCAAGGCAACACAAGCTTCTCCCTCTGCTGGTTGTTTTTGATGACATGCAAAAGAAGTCAAGGGGGCAGCTCTGTTTCCCCAGCCATTGGTTCAGCTGCACTAGTCTTGAGCACTGAGAAGAGAAGGAACTGGCTCCATCACCAATATGAAGATGCTATCACGCTAGGTTTTTAAAGCGGACAGCTTTGTGTTTCTGCTGCCTACAGAATTCTTGGAAATGTAGTTTTGGAAGGTGATGACCTCTGTAGCTGAGAATTCAGAAGGCCCCATCCTAAACTACATCCCCCAGAATTCTGTTGGCAGCAGAAATGTGGGGCTGCCCGCTTTAAAGCCCTGGTGTGATAACGTGTTTGGACTGCTGTGTAGTTATTTTTGTGGACTGAAACTCCCGGAATTCTATAGCCATAACCAAACTTACTGAAGAAAGGTTATTCTGGGAACTTTAATCCAAAAGTTTGCAGACCAAAATCCTATATAGCGGATATGAATGTGTAGCCTGAGTTACAGATTCTTGATTGTTTTGCATTCACCATCCCTGCATGCCCCTAATTTAGGAGATGCATCAGGACCATGAACATCCTTCAATCATCACTTATTGAAAAATAGTTTCAACAATTGATGGGCATCTGCCTGTTCTCCCAACATTCAAGAAGCAGCTGACTGATAGTCAATTGTAAAGCAACCAGTAGCACTAGATGGAATTGAGATTGGGGTCATGTTTCTTCTTGTTGCCCCAGAGATCACTTGCAGGAGGGGGCAGGAATGTTAGATCCCACTGTCCACAGTTACTTCTGACCTGTAAGCAGGGATTTGTGTGGTTGGGCTGGGATTCACATAACTACAATAGTTATATAGCAACATAATGTATATGGGATTCTGACTGTAATTTTTGAGGCCTAATTTATTTATTTATTTTTTAAAAGAGTAGCAATAAAACAAACAGCTAAATACTGAAATGTATGCTGGACTGTTGAATTGTTCTTTTTGGGTTGTGGATTGCAAAATAAGTGAATCAAAGCCTTGACTTTCAAACCAGGAGATACTTGATTAACAATTTGACTCTGCAGTTGATATAGTCCTCCTAATTTTGTCATCTTATCTGTATTGTGAAGTTGATGATCATCTGCATTTTGAGATTGACTTACCTTGCTGGTTGATTTTTTTGATTCAGCCAGAGATAATGGCTGAAATCCAAATGTTAAACCCAAGTATGTACACCAACTGAGCTAACAGGAACATGGCAGATCAACATATGTAATTTCCATTGATCCAATGGGTCTGTTGTAGTTAGGACCAATAACTGAATTTAGCATACTTCATAATGAACACACTGGAAACTCCAAAGTGCTTTCAAAATGGTGCCCTCTCATATTAGTTTTTGCATAGTTTCTATTTTGTTTGAAAGGCCAAATAGACTTGCGGCTGTGAGTAAACTGAATAAGGGTGCATAGAAGATCAGGTGCTCTCCCAACAAAATGGAGAGTCACAGATCACAGCCCCCTGTATAGTTGTGGTAGGTACGTGCCCTTAACTAGAAACACGCAAGAATTAGACATTTGTGCAGTGTATAAATGTGCTTTGGTGGGGGTCTCTTTTAGATCGAGATATACAGCTTCTAAATAATTCTGGAAAAAGCAAAAAGATAATACCTTTGTTGTATTCTAGTATGACATCTGGCATACTTCGAGAATCTAAGTCTTGTGATCACTTTGCACAGAGGCTGTGCTAATAAAACTATCCTTTGTCCAGTGTGTAATGCACAAATGGGGCATAACTAGACTTGCTGATACTAGAGAACCTTCACTTTTTTCCAAATTTCTATTTCTATGTGGAGGGGAGGCTGGACTTGTGAAGAATTGATGCATTCCCCATGTATGTTTCCTCAGTTGTATGAATTTGGCAAATAATACCTGTGACACAATGAATGGTAAGGACTGCCCCTATTACAAGTTGGCCTTGTTCCATGAGTGTCGCTCTGGAATTTAGCCATACGGACTAATAACCTGTAAAAATACAATTCGTGTTTCAAAATATTAAATACATTTATGTATGATCATAGCCCTTTGAAATTACTTTTGTATATGGGTGTGCATGTGTATTTATGTATATATATATTTATGTGTATATTTGTTTTATAGTTTGTATTATTTCTTCTCATTCATTAAAACATATTCTTTTTGTTACATTTACATGCGTATGGCAACTTTTCAAATATGAATAAAAACATAGCCCAAGTTTTATTCTGTATTGGTGTTTTAAACTAGGAGTAAGTAGAAAGTAAATCATCAGCATCTATTGGTGATAAGTAGAGAAGATTAGTATAAGCAGATTTTTTTTTCTGGACTGCAGCTCAAGATCACATGACACCCATGGCTGAATTCTAAATCAGAAAATTCCTATTGTTCATCTGCCATCAACTCACTGGGTGCGTTCAGATTAGCCATTCTTATCCAGAATAGTTTATCTATCTGCAATATGGACAATACTGATATTGCCATACATTGTATCAGTATTTGTATTTTATAACCTTGAATGAACTATACGTGTTAAGCATTATGAATTGAAATGATTACTATCATTAAAGAGAATGTTTGGTAGGAGGCAGAGAAGTAGATTTGTGGATCAAGATTACGAAATCAGTTCTGATTCTGAAAAATATATATATTGGGCTGAGATTGTAGTCCTGAATACATTTGCTTCTGAGCAAATCTGCATGCAGCTAAGGATGCATTCCTCTCATATACACAAAAACATTGCACACCACTACAATACCAAAATGATTGATGGAATGCCTGCAAAATTGCAGTTGACTCATTGTTTGCATCTAAAAACTTTCCATCCCTAGTCTCAGATTTTCTGACGCAGGTCAGCATTTCATTACTATGTATGTGGAAAGCTGTTCTGTGAGACCAAACCCTGTCATGTATTCATGTGAATGTGAAAAAAGTGGAAGCTGATCCCCTTTTAAGTCAGGGAGATCAAAAGGAAATGTTGCAGTATTTTTCCATTTGTAATTGTTTCCATTGCATTTTTTACTCTTAACAGTATTTAGAAAGCCAAATGAATAAATAACCATAAGTGCAATAATCCTAGTAAATACCAAGGTATCTACCACTTTGGTTTTCCATAATCATTTTTACTGTTTTGCTCATGTTTGCATCCGCTTTTCAATATGTTTACATTCATTTATGTCCACTTTTTTTAACAAAGCATGGACTATTTTACCTATCTTCATTTAAATACAACTGGTGTTAGATAGTTTTCATAATCTGATTTAAACCAGAGTATTAATATGCGGTGTGCCGTTTCTAGTAATTTATTTGAAACCATTCCTTCTTTCTCTCATGGGAGAGTAATTCAGTGTTCACTAGCAACACTTATGGGGGCTGCAACAATGTTTACTCAATCAGTTGTATTTTACACACACCTAACAAGCACTTTACAGACTTCAAAACCCATAATACACACTCTAGTGATGGTGTGCCATTTCTAGAGATTGGAATGTTATGTTTAGACTATACCTTCTAGAATTATCCCCGAAACATGGCCATTAACTCCAATCAATTCTGAATGGTCTTGGTTATTCATTCTAGGTACTGCCAACCAGCATGACACAAGCTCAATGTAGGTCTCAGCATTTCTTAGGAAGGGATCACCAGAGCCACCGCCATGGGCAGAACTGATTTAGACTCATAGGGTTTTGATGCCTATACAACATTCTGCCTTTGCTGAATACTTTTGAGCTTGGCTTCACTTAACTTGCAAAGCTATTACCATCACTTGTAAACAAAACTCTGTTGCCTCTTCTACTCTGGTTTTCACCATACATGAAATGGGAACAAAACCTTTTCAGTAACTTTGTTGTACACTATTTTTTTAAAGAAAACAAAAAATAAGGATAGAATGCAAGCATTGTAAGCCATTATTATTATTATTACTTGTTGGCTACAGTAGCACGCAGTTCTGAAATAAAGATCTCTAATGACTTCAGCAAACTTCTCTGGTGTGAGTTATTTCCAAGCAGATTAGAACATAGGTAGGATATGAGGATGACTTGAAGAAGGGGGAAATTGAATCAGAATAACATGGCAAGGATAAATCTGGCAGGACAATTCAAACATGAAATGCAAACAAGGATTGTCCACACAAGCAGAGAGAAACTTTTAAAATGTCTAGTTTTGACAGAAATGCTTACACCAATTTTTCTTAAGCTATCTGATGTGGAAGACTGGCATTTTCCCCATGTGCCAAGGGCCAATAACACATTTATACTTATCACTATTGTTCCTTTTGTTCATGGAAGTTCTCCATGGACCAGAAGCATATGCCTCTGGGTCCAGCAGTAGTCCACAGACCACTAGTAGAACTGACTTCTTCTACAACTCCGTTCTCTTGATAATGTTGAGCTTGCTTCATTGCTAGTATCTATCATAATTTATAGCACTGATGCAGAACCTCCAATCTGCAGTTGCTTTTTGTATAGTATCTGAAACGAGTAGGACTCCACCTGTTGCTTTTTCTGCAGCACAGGTGATCCTCCAGGCAACACGGTGAGGCAAAAATTATTTCCTGGTTTCTGAATTTGCCACCATTAGGAGTAGCGATCAAGTGGCATTCATAGTGGAGATTGAAGGGAGATGGAAGTACAATCAGCTGAAAGTTGTACATGCACAATATGTGAAACTACACTGTAGACTTAATTTAGTTTGCCAATTTACAAATTCTTTATCCTTCTCGGCCAAACTACAATCTACAGGATTCCAAAGCATTATGCAATGGCAGTTAAAAATTATGTCTAACCACATTGATTCTCAGTGTCAATGCACCCTTAGTTTGTACCTCGTATCTCAATATGACGTTCAGTGGACTGAGTGTAATATTTGGTATCAAAGGAAACCATAAATGTGTACAGTCCAACTGTGAAATCATTTCTTTTTTATTCATAAATATGTACTATGGAGCTGGTGTGGTTGAGAGACACAGTAGATGAGTAGGATAAGGTTGGGTCCTCCAGAAAGTTTTTTGTATAATAACCTCCTTTTCATAGAAGCTTAAAAATGGAGGAACCAAACTGGAGTTATAAATTCAATGTATGGTCTAACTTATACTTCAGTATAGTGACACTGGCAAGTACAGAAGTCATCCTAAAGCAGAGTATAAAACAGTGCATTTCATTCTTCCACATGTTCATTGTCAGCAGAAGCTTTCAGGAGATAATATAAAAGTGTGTGCAATAAAATCCCTCCCAATGCTCCACTTCCAATGCCTATCAGAAACATAAACGCAGCTCTCTGTTGCCAAGACTTCAGTTGTTCCTCGATTGGAGCAGCGGTAGCATTCTGTTCGTTTCCTTCATTCATGATTTCTAATTTCTGCTCTTCATTCAAGGATTTGTCAAAGTTTAAATCCACCAGGTGACCAGGAATCACTCGAATGCCAACATAGATTCTCTTTACAATCTTGTACGTTTTCATGAACTGCACATCACATCTGTATGTTCCTGCATCATATTCCTCAACAGGAGAAAAGTTAATGACAAATCCTGAACTCTTGAAAGGTTTGAAGAGAGCATCGTCTGTGCTGATGATGCCTCTGGCCACCCTCCATGTATAACTAAAGCTCTGTGTCTCTGGACCAACTTCCTCTGTGTTCAGGCAGCTGAACTCAAAGGATTCACCAACGAGGACAGTGTAGTGGACCATCCCACAAATCCAGTTGCTCAGGCAGTCCACTCTCCTCTTGGAGCACTGTTGCCTTTCCCCATTTGGTGTGATTTTACATCTTTCCTCTACCTTGTAGCCCAGGCCACAGGTAGTGCTGCAGCTTGTGGAACTGATAGCAACTCTGGCAGTAGCATCACTCAGTGGCTTGGGAATGGTAATGGGACTGGAAGGTGGTTCATTAGAAGCCATGGATAGTAGTGCAAAGACAGTAAGCAAAAATGTTCCAAGAGAAAGACTGACTTGTGCCTTTGTCATACTTGGAAAGTGCTTTGAGACTCCATACTGTAGTTCTGTTAAATAACCTAAGGATCATTCTTTGAATGTCATAAACATTCCAGAGCTTTAAAAGATATCTTACTTTCTGAGCCAGTTGCCTCCAACATCAGAACTCCTCAGAATATAAATGTTGCTCAAGTGATACACTTGTAAGGGGAAGAAAATTCTTCAATTGCCTGGTTAAATTACACTATACATTTATGGCTGTCCCTTCTATTTTCCTTGGCAATAGAGAATAGAGCCCTTGTGGAATTCATCAGGACAATGCTTAGCCATTAAAGTGTCATAATTAAGAAGAAGGGGAGAGATTGCAAGAGAAAGAGAGAGAAAAAACATAAAGTTAGTTTATGTCAATGGCATTCTTCTTTTTCTTTCAGATCTAGGTACTTGCCTATATTTTTTAAGCTAAATTTCATAAATATTCAGGTTTTAAAAAATTATGATAAATCAAAGCTATTTTGCATAATAAATAAAAGAACAAGAGAATTAGACAAAACCTCAGTAATTCTAGTCTTAGGTATCTGGAAATGTTGTTGAGAAATGTTGTTGACAAAGCACCTCCCATAGATTTTTCAGAGAAATTATAAAAAATTGCATCACGACTGAGCTATTCCTCATTTTTCACTTTTAGGCAGACTACCTAATTAAGGTGTATAGTGTATTTTATGCAAAGATTTGTTCACTAATGCCAGTACACATGAGTAGTAGTAGGAACAAACATGAATCCCTTTGCCAAAGATTGTTACAGATTTTACAGATTAACAAATTTTACAGATTACAACATTTTCATTAAACTTTTATAGTTCAAATGCATTACCTCAATGACTTTTAAACTACTATCTAGATAGCTGTAATGGATTTAGGAGTTTTGTATCTAATATTTACAAAGCTGTTATTTTAAAACCATATGATTCAAAGGCTCTAAAATAGTGTGGAAATCACATTTAAAAATTACTACAGTATAAGAAAAATAAAGTATGAGGAGCCCATCCCTACAATTCAGTAAAAGAGGCCTCATGGTAGTGCATCAGTGGCAACTACATCCATTAAAGCTATCAAGGATCAATAAACATGTATCCAGAAATACTTCAGAGGGTGTCGGCAATAGGAACACTTGGCATGCCTATATTTTCCATGGCAAAATATTTTTGAAAATAAATTACAGAATGACTAAACAAAGTCACAAATCAAATAACACAGCCTAATAGATATTTATGGATATTGTCAGTTATTGGAGGAAAAATGAAAGTCAAAACATAAAGATTTATTTGTACAATATTCCTCAGTGGAGCAAGAGTTGAAGTGAACATTTGTAAGAGACTGTGGAGCGTTTCATTTCACAAATGGTTGGATAAGGTTTGGACAGTTGGCCTGATGGAAAACTGGCTTTTAAATACTAGAGGATAATTTTGAAGCTATTTACAAGCTGTTTTCACACTTGCTTCTGAAATGAACTTTGCCTATTGAATGCTATTAAATTCTTCGTTTCAGGCAGAGTAGCACAGGGTGGTTTCACACAGAGCTTTAACCTGCGCCTAAATCGGGTTTCTTAAACCTGATGGGGGATGGGTTAAAGTCCACACACCTTCCTCCAACATCCATGCTTTCTGGGGGGGGGGGTAGAGTACTCAACACAAAACAACCCCCCCCCCCCACACACACACACACACCTAGAAAAGCCTTTAAAAAATAAAATAACTTACCCGGCTGCCATTCCTGTGCTGCTGGAGCTCTCCTGGAGCGGAGAAATTATGAGCCAGGAGAGGGGAGGGACCAGGAGTGATTTTATTTATTTATTTATTTGCTTTATTTCTATACCGCATTTCTCAACCTAATTAGGTGACTCAATGCGGTTTTTCCTCTTCCCCACTTCTCCTGGCATGCCAGGAGAGCTCCAGCAACATAGCAATAGCGGCCAGGTGTTATTTTCTTTTTTAAAGGTTTTTCAAAGGGATTTTGGGAGGGGTGGGGGATATCCTGGGTTTGTTTGGCTCCAGGACCCCAAGAAACCCGAGACAGTTGTGTGGATTGGGAACGGAAGTCACGTGAGATGATCCCTGGGCCCAATCCACACAGCACCCACAGCTGGAAAGACCCGGGTAAAGACGTGGGTCTTTCCAGTTGTCAAATTACTTTGGGACAAAGCAGAATTTTCCTGCTTTGTCCTGAACAAATTCATTTTTACCTGGGGTGTCATTTGGATGCGCTTGCATGTTTTAGGCACTGTCTGGATGCACCCACAGTAACTATCTGAATCATTAGTAACAATGCCTTTGTTATATGACAATTTCTCACATATATTTTTAAAAGTCACACTTCCAAAATCCTATCTATACCTTATATAATGCAACATTTTATTAAGCTAGTTTGTGGCTGAAATACTGTTAACAACGTCAATGTCCCATAGGTATAAGTTTTCTAAGCAGTCCTATTATGTGATAAGCATATCTTAATAAAAATCAGAACTTGAAAATGAATTTCATCTTGCAGCCTTATCATACTTTCTCACCACTCAAACAATCAATGTGAGCTGTAGTGCCTGTCTGATCAAGTGAAAACGTTGAGCTGAGATAGTAAATAAATAAATAAAATGCAGAACTTACAGTAGGATAATCAGTTGCAACTTCAATATCCCACTTGTTCTGTATATATTTCCAACTTCTATACAAAGCAAAAATTTGAGGCATAAAGAGATGTTTTTAAAAAATAAACATAAAAGAACTTTGCTTTGCACAAAACTCTCCATAGTGGGGCAGTGAATTACCTCCTGCTTTTAACTTCAACTTTGAAGGAAATTTTAAAGAAATCCTCCAATCAAAAATTTTTCAGCAAGATTTAGCTTTTGTAAAGATATCCAAAAGGATTCACTACTCCACTGACATGGAAGCCACCAGCTGCTACCGAACCCCTTAATTTTGAACAACATGACTAATGTTACTGCTTCACTCACAAAGCTATATTTCTGTGTATTTAGAATTGAACGTCTCCAAACCACAAAAATTCATTAGGCCATCTTGAACTGAGCCAGACTATTGGCTCATCTAGAACAGCAATAGGGAACTTCATTTCAGATGGAAGCCTGATTATTCTGGAATTCCATAGATGACCCCTTTCTCCATTATATTGTTTTGTGGTTTTCCACCTTTTGTGAGGCTGTCCTATTCTAAAATATTGAAATGACTTGCATAAGGCTTAGTTAAAAGCTTTATAATAAAATTTGTGGATGTCCTTGCCATTAGCCTTTTGGCTCCAAGTACTACTGGAATGTCTCCTAGACGTTCTCTTAGAAAAAAGGCTGAATAGTAATGTAAAGGTGGTGATGAGTACAGTCATGATTTTAAGAAAAACAAGATGGAAGTGATACTTACAAAACTGACTTCCACATAATCTATAAAATGTTAAGTACAGTAAATTCAGAACAGTATATCAAGCATCCCAATATTAGATATACTTTGACTGCATAGATCAGGATATTCTCCAAGCCAGCCATCTGCTAGAAAGAGTAATTTGTTTCCTTGCCCTGTTCTCCACGCCCATTCTTTCAGAGATGCCAGATACATTCATTGTTATCAATCCATGATGTCACAAACCAGCCTTCAACATTCCAACTGTAGAATCGTCCTGAAAAGCTTATTATATTGTTCTTCAGTACAGCTTGGAAAAGGTAGCGCCATATTAGCAGGAATCAGGATTGTATCCATCACAAAGCAGGAACTTTGTTGATTTCACCCTAGGAACAGGTCAATAAATATACCATCTCTACCTTCTATGATTAGAGTGTCTCATGTGTACTTCCATCAACTGATCTCAATAACATACCAGCTTGTAAGAGTCAACTAAGAGAAGGGGGCACCCTCATAAATAAGAGTTCCCAAGGGCATTACTGGGGACACAATTTATGCTATCAGTATCGGAGGAACTAGGTGAGTACTGTGCTCTAGATTCAAAACTAGCAACTGTAGGGACTTGTGTCATTCTCTTTCTTCTCAGCTACCACCTTCCAAAAACAGAAATTTACAATGAAGACCAAATATCTCTCAAGCGGATTCACATACAACAATTTAGCAGTTCATATACCTAGTCTAGTCATGACTATCTGGGAGTCAGGAAAGGTGACTTTAACCAACATTTCAGTGCATTTTAGCATAGTGACAATAATAGTCATTTTTTGTACACATTGTTTGTTATTTTACGTATAATAGTGTGACAATAGAAACGGCATCAAGTATAGGTGGTTTTGGTAGAGACAAAAACAACTGGGAAAATATGTGATGCACTGAAAATAGTGGATGTGTAAGAAGGGCAGAGATAAGTACTTCTCTGAACCTCATATGGCTCTCCTTATTGCAGGACTAGTTTCAGAGTTGAAAATACCAAAAAAAGTCCTTAATTCTTAAGCATGGTCTAGTGCAGTAGTTATCAACCTGTGGGTCCCCAGATGTTTTGGCCTTCAACTCCCAGAAATCCTAATAGCCAAAACACCTGGGGACCCATGGGTTGACAACCACTGGTCTAGTGGTAGGTTGCAGCAATCTATCAGCCTTGTAATCATACATTTGCATGGTATTTTGTGTTTTCCGCTGCAAGAATGATGAGTGGTGGATACGTTAAGATGGACTGGCTGTCATGCTTATTTTTATGATGAAGTACTACTATCTCTTTAGCACAGTATAGAAGATGGCAATGGTAAACCACTCCTCAATCCTATTAGCTCAAAAACAATGATGATGTTGATCACAACGACAATGGCAATGGTGATAGAAAAAATAGTGCTGGAAAATGAGACTCCCAGGTTCAAAGGCAATAAGCAATTTACTAGGCATTCAATAAATGAAGCTATGGCTGCCCTTGGTTTACAAGACCTGAATAGATCTGTAGGGCTCATGGAGACCTCACATTCAGATGCCCTTATGTGTGCATATATATGGTCCTTCAGGTTAAGATATGGACTTGCTTTCAATGATGAATGCTTAAAAGCACTGACAGCCATTTTGCTCATGTTAAAGGATTTGCTATCAGACTTTTGATTATGATTAAACCTGAATGAACTATCAGTTTTCAGAGGCCATCATACATCTAGTTTCCTCTTTTTTTTAAAAAAAAAAAAGGTCAGTACTATATTGCTTAGGGACAGTTCTGGTTAATACTTGGATGGGAAACCACTAATAGATACCAAGTTCTGTAGGCTATATTTCAGAGGAATGAAATGGCAAACCACCTCTACATTTTTCATGTCCCAAGTCAACGGACAAATTAAGGTCACAATCATTCACAGACAATATATTTCTTGGACTGTATCACTTAACTGACGTATTCCCATGATCCAGGCTGGTTGAAATGCAAAAAAGAATAATGTGAACTTAAAAATAATGGCGGCACCTGATTTAAGCCAAGATATGTGGAGATCATTACCAATATTAGGAAATAATTTCTATTTTAACTGTTTTCTCAAGCAAATTTCTGGCTTGCTTAACTAAAGTGATTGAAAAGACTTGCCCAACAAAAAGGACAGGTTGTAATATAAGAAATAAACATACTTCTTTATTTACAAACACATAAGCTAGTATCACAACAGTACTTTACAGAAAACCAACAAGCAGTCATTATGTCAAGTTTTGTACAAACTTCAAGAGTATCAAAAGGATTTTAAGAATAGTGAATGGGAGAAATAAAGCAGGGATCCATAATACCACACACGCAGTAGGACTAGTTTGTCCCAGTCTTCTATGGACTGACAGGCTATGTGGCAGAATTGTACACCGAAGGACTGTATTGAAGTATTTTTGGTTAGAGATGCCATAAATTATGCTAGAGAATATAAGGACCAATTCACAGTTTCATTAGAAGAGGAACTCAACAGGTTGGGTGAGACTTCCTGTCAGCAAAATTGCTAAGCCCGCCCCCCAAAAGTCTGCAAAAGTCTGCAATTTGAGGTTTACTTATTTGTTTTGAAATATACTCTTTTGAACACAAAGCCAGATGTAGAAATCTCATTTTATATTCTGGAGAAAACATTATTTAAAATATGATTAATATGATTCTAGACTGAACAATCACCTGCACTGGAAATGCAAATGCAACCTTTTCAAGTATTTGGACAGCAAGAAAACACAAATCTCTGGATGGGACAGAGAGTAAAAGCACAAGTAAATCACACCTCTCCTCATTATGTTTCCATGTTCTGTCCGAGATGCATTTGTCACCTCTGAGAAGACATTAGTTCTCCCTGCATGTTCAGGAGTGGTGAAAAGGAGAAAAGGCATTTCTGGGTCGTGGGTGATACTAGGAAATATAATGAGCTGATGAGTGAGATGGGTTGCTCTATATCCTGTTTCTTTTGTCTGAATAAATGGCTGCTTCTCTCACTCTCTCCTTTGTTCTTGCAATCAGCATCAGTTTCCTGTAACACCTCTATAACCCCGTCATCCTTCTGGGCTCATTGGGATTCCAGGTATCTATTCCAAACCTTCAAAAATAGGTCACCTTGGAAAGCAATGAGCAATACAAGGGACATCTAAGCATTAATAGCAGGCCTACAAAACCACTGCAAGCCAAAGTGTATAACAGAGAAAATAATGATGCACCGAGTAATTTTTTCAATTAGAAACAATCCATTAGTAACGTGCTGAGATCCACAACAGAACGGCAGGTCTTTAATGTTCGGCTTCTTGAGAATGATATGCAGCAAAAACTATGAAAAGGTCATAACTCAAAGGAAGGGGTCTTGTACTTTGTACTTTGGGAAATTTTAATTGGACTAATAAAGAAAAATAGTTTCCTATTCTCAGATTCTATACAGATCCTCTTTCCTGACAGTCAACTTGTTCATTCAATGTTCACAAGAAAGGATCAGGGAGAAAGATTTTCCTCTTCCATAATTTTGCTTCTTTTCAAAAACTGATTCTTGTATACATAGGCAGCCAGGCCACTTGTCCTTGCCATATTAAGTTAAAGTCAGTCCATTATCTGACTGAATATTTTGTCCTTATTCAATATTGTTATACCACTGCAGGAAATAAGGATCAATGTAGAAGGGGCAGGGAATCTTCATAGCAGCTCTGAGATCCCACCACCTGCTAAAAGAACAGAACAAAAGAAAAGAACCAAAAATTTACATCTATATCTCACTGTTTTCAGGAGGACTCTGATAAATAATTGCAGGTAGAAGCTACAAAAACACCCACAATGGATGCAAAGGTGCCATGGGGAAGCATTTTTCCAACATGGGCATGTTGTTTTTATTTATTCTTCTAGAATTCTGCATCAAATGAAAGTAATTCCCCAATTTAACTATGGATAAATTCAGAACATCCCCTTGGCTGAGATTTCTGCAAACTTACCTGGATGAAGCTCAGAAATGAATGAATACAGAGTATTTAGCAATTAAGCAAACTTGGTGTGCTGTCCCTGAGAACAGGGGAGGAACAACTGAAAAGAAGCTTATTGGGATGCCTTAGGCAGTGATTTCAGCACAGTATCAGTTCATTACCTGTGTTCTGTGCAAGATTCAATTTTTCCAGAATAGAGCACACTTTAAAACAGTTTTGCACAGTGAAGCCTTACATACTGAAAACAAACTTGTGTTTTTCTCTGAATAACCCTATATACATATTAAAGGGGGTTTGATCTGAAAAACTCTTGAATTTCAAAACAAAAAGATAAACCTGTCAGAGATGTGTTTGATGCTTCATTCTCTCATGGGAGGAGATGAGAGTCCAAGATATCTTGGAATCATTTCAGTCAACTGAGTTTGGCAGAGGCAGAGCCACAGGACAGAAAGCATATATACCATCTAAAATAGTGTCTAAGATTCAAAATGGAACCTGTCAAGACTTTTGATGACATGTCTAAAGGCTTTGACTAAAAAACTTCCCATTCAAAGTCAAGAGAATCAAAACTTTAAATACTGAAAATGATATGTTTTACCCAGTATTTTGGTTGTAGTTTTGGGGAAAGTTTGAATTATAAAATTGCTGATAGTAGCTTGGGTGCGGACCAGCAGTATAGCTTATCTACATATGTTTGATATCCAAAAGGTTCCAGTGCATTTTTACTTAATAACAGCCCTTTTACTAAAAATCAGGCCTTGCACCCTAAAACTGCCAGATCCTGTCTGATCTTGGAAGATAAACACTGAAAATCCTGGTTAGTATTTGAATGGGAGACCAGCTGTTATAAGATGTGTTTCATATACTTCTGAGTACTCCTTGCCGAAGAAAATCTATGAAATTCATGGGGTCACCATAAGGCATCAGGTATCTTGAAGGCACACTCACATACATAGGGCTCATAATAAAGTCAGGCATCTATGCATATGAAGCATTCATACCATACCTCTTATGAGTGTTTCATATGCACAGGTGCCTGGCTTTATTTGGAGTCCTATGTATGTGTAATATTAAAGCGAGATATCTTTTTTCTGACCTGCAGTATTTCAAACACTATCACTGTCCTTATTAAGTTCTTACAGGGCAGCTCAACAAATCAGTTTCATAGAGAAAGGCTTGTAGCCTCCAGCTATCTAACCCCGGTTTAACTTATTAAACCTATTGAAAAGAATGCACTATACAGATGTTAAATGGTGAAGACCAAGCAAGCAGTGTCCCAAGCATCCTTAAATAACAACAAAGAATATTCCAAGCCTAGATTATGAAAAGCAGTGCAGCTCTTCCATATTAATGGGCATGCCTTGAGTAGGTAAGCTTTCCAGGTACAACTGCTGGATCTAAATGTAACAGAAGGTATGCCAAAGCATCAATTGAGGTTGACACCAGAAGGAAGGATGATATTTTGTTCTTCCAGTACTTGCTTTCTCACATATGAGTTTATGATGTTGTATGACCTATGTAATGCTTCCTAAAGTTACAGAGACTTCACAGTTGCAAACAATTTTAAAAATCCAGAAAATTACATTAAAAGTATCTGGCAATGAACTGCATTCTGCCCAGGTTCAAGTATGTTTGCATGTCCAAAAATAAACAGACAAAGATGAAGCAAGTACTCTATAAAATTGCTCACTGATTTGTAAATTATTAATTCAGAAAGTGTGCAGCATGGTGCTATTTAATATCCATCTCATTTATATCTAGCAACAAGAGTGATTACTTTCCTTTTTTTCTTTGAAGAACTTGTATAATATTGAGTACTGGTAAAGTACTTGAGTGACAAGCTTAATAATGACAATAATCTAGCAGGAAAACACGACAACAAACAAAAAAGGCTGCCACGTTTGTTATTATATCATTTGTAAGCAAAAATTGAATGCATGTATTAATATAATAAAAGCAATATAAATAGGAGAAGAGCAGGAAGGACAACGAGCAAGCTGGGTAATACTGGATCAGCAGTGAGGGAAAGGAAGGTTTTTTAAAAAACTCAATTCTGGAAATAATAAAATCCACAGCAACAGCTACTGTGTTTCAAGGATGTACAAAACCGTGTGCATATGTCAAATGTAAATTTCTATTTCACCTAACAATTTTGCAGAAAAGTTTAACAAACACTGTTTTACATCCCCTGTACATTCATTTCCTCCTGACTCCCTGTCTGACAGATCTGAACCTCTTTACAATCTGTATAATCGATTAAAAGAGTCAAATATGGGCACAGACACACTGCAACCGTGCAATGCTGTAAGAACAAAAAAGAAGCAAAAGGTTCAGGATGTTGGAGAAATGTTAAGTCTTTTGTCATTTACTGTTAAGTAATATCACAGAATTTGCTCAGGTTAGGTAAGCTAAGAGCAATCTTTGTTGCAATAATCTTTGAAACAGAGTTTCTATGAAAGACAGCATTGTTCAGGCAACATTTCCTTCCACCAGGTAGTGGAAAGAAACCTGTAGAAAAATAAGTAATTCCTTTGTGAGGAATGTTATTTTCAAGCAAGCGTGAGGAAACTTGCGATCCACACAATGCTTTCTGACACCAGCCCCCATTAGTCCTGTTAATACATTGATTGCTTTCTTGACTTGACTTGACTTCAGGACTGTGTTTGTCTTGCCTCATGGTAGGCCACATGTCGCAGCTTTTCTATAGGATGCCATTTTGTCTACTAGTAGCTAATCCTGTCTATACATTGTCCTCTTGAGCACTACATACATATGTTTTAGTTTATTAGTGGACCTCCCCCCCCCCAATTATTTTAAATTGGATAATAAAGGGTATGAGTACCAAGTCTGGTCCAGATTCTTCAAGCCATGTAGGCAAGTTGGATGGGTAGATGGATGGATGATGTGGAACTGCCACTGAACTCAGAAACTACAGGTAGCCCAAAATATTGCAACAAAATACTGACTGACATGCCATATGAGTTTTAAACAACTGGTACTGATTGTGCAGTTTGTTTCTGGTTTTAATACAAGGTTCCGATGATAACATTTAAACCTCTAAATGGTTTGGAAGCCCAGTATTTGAATAAGCATCCATCCTTCCATATACTTTCCAGAAGGCTAAAGTTAGCAAAAGGAGCCCTTCTCTGTATGATCCACCAGTCGGAGTAAAATAATGTGGGAGAAGATGGAGACCTCTATTGTGAAATGCCTCACCTGCAAATTTGAAATTGCATCAATAATACCTCCAAGAACCTTTCCACATTTCTTTATGTTTTTTAGCATCGGGGATTTTAGCAGTAGTACTTTTGTTTTCTGACCTTTTCTTCCTGCCTTAGAGTGCCCCCTCCTGTTTCCTATGTATTTATCTATGTATCCCTATGTATCCTGATATGTTTCCTTTGTGTGTGTAACTAGAAATTTGGAAATCCAACACAAAAGTGGCCACTGCAGCTTGGGTGTTTAAGCATCTGCTATGATGTTCCAGTAAGTTACTGCATGCTCCATTATTTTTTTCTTCTGAGAAACCTATGGTTTGATTTTCAGCTTTTCAGTTTGAAAGTGAGCACTAAAACTTATAGATAACAATCAAAACCACCTTAGATTTTTGAAGGATATTTTATGACTTCCTGAAGAGTTATAATTAGCTTTCTTTTTGGCTACTAGTACATCCCTCATTTCAAATTTCAGCATAAAACTCAGCTTTGCAAATTTTGAGGGTTCAAGCCCTGATGGCTGTTAGACAGGGAGACCTTCTCTTTACTGTTATAGCTTTGTCATGAAGAAACACACACATCTAAATTGTATTGTGACTCAGAGAACAAGAGAGCACACTTCAAAGCAAAAATATTTCAGATGTCACAGGGGAAAGATTTTTCTGACATAACATGTTGCCATTTGATCAGGAGAACATGTATACTCAAGATGCACATTTCGTAACAAATATCAACTCTGAAATGCTAGCAACATTTCTGCCATTATAGTGGCTGTAAGGGCAGTGTAACATACTGTGAAGATCTCTGAGGAGGGCAGAGCAGTTATGTGCAATTTCCATGTAGAAGTATTGGACCCTTTGTAGGAAATAGAAACAGGGCCAGTTCATCTACATGTAGCTGGTGAAAGATATATTTTTGCCCACACTCTATCCAAGGCCCCACTGCTGCAATTCTATATCCATTTCTCTAAGAACAAGCACACTGAACTCATTCAAACTTATTTCTGAGTAAAAACATAGAAGGTGTGAGGTTAGGTGCAGCTCTGTGTACCACTCAATCCTACCTGGAAATCCCTTGCTTAAAAGAGAACCCGAAAGACAATAATACTACTAGAATAGAGACAGATGAGGGTCCCAATTCTTGATAATCCCAGCTATTGAAAATCAAGGCTACTCTTGTACAGAGCCTCGTGTGAGTGGCTCAGAAAAAGCCCCAAGTTAGGTTCTCTTCTTGCTCTTAGTACTGTTAGTGATGTTTATATTTTCTGTAACTAAATATGGATGCAAGCATGGACATCAGACTATACTTTCATAGGCCATGAAATGCAACCAGTCCCCAAACTGTGGGGCAGATAGTTACTCCCTCCTTTATTTTATGTTTTAAGAGTTTGATGCATTCATAGCAAAGTTGCAAGAAAATTTGTGGGCACACATGCTCCTCATCCCTTTTCTTTCTGTTTTTGATTCAAAATTTAACTTAACAGGTTTGAGTGTTGTGGAATCAACAGTATAAATTACTGCGAAGAATCAGCAGCTTCTTTCTCTTTGATGTTATATGACATTTTAACAATTGCCACATTCTTCATTTCTAGGTCAATGATAAGCACCCATATTTGTGAAAATAGGGGTTAAAGGTTATGTGCTGAGAAGTGAAATTTTGTCCATCCTTGAGAGTAGAGCAGCTAAACATTTAGCAAGCAAATGCCATCTGGAAGCTAAAGTGCTAAGACTATGCCACGTTTGCATGAAGCAAGGTCACCAAGCAAGCAGACGCTCACGCTGGGTCCTTACCTGGCAAAGGCTGTCCCAGCTCCGCCTGCACTTTACCCTTTGCTGCTCCTTCCAGAGGTAAAGAACCTCTGTCCCCTTTGTAGAGTTTCGGTTTAAATGGAGAATCTTTCTCTTTACCTTTTGATCCTTTAGGCCTGCCTGCTTGCTTCTTCTTGGATTTACCATCTCCTTTCACACCCAGAAGCGGATGGACCTCTGTAAAGAACATTTGTAAAAGGAAGTACACATATCTAGTCGATATTTTAAAAGACCAGTATATTCATAGTTGCCTACTTTATTGCTCTCTGAAGCTCATATGAAAGGAAAGAGAAACTTATCTTGCCCCCTTTGTAAGAACAAAAATGGAGCAGCAGGAGAACCATGAAATATCTGCCAACTGTCATGATCTTGAGTACACTGGCAGTTTGCTGTGCGTAAAGGGAAGAATAAAACTGCTATATAACCTAGACTAAAACTACATTTGATTCAGATGCTTTAAGCAATTTCTGACAAAAATATTGAGCAGTGTTTTTGATAGCAATTACTGTTTCAGCTCGCAATTTCCACTCACCATCATTGGGAACTCCCTGCAGTTCTATGTTGGTGGTTTTGGGTTTCTTCTTAGGTGGCTGAGGTCCATCAGACAAGGACTGCCTCTTCTTGTCACAGCCAATCCCCTCATCAGGTAAGGCAGTCTGGACTGCATCTGGTGGGGGGCCATATGGGTTTTCTTCAGGATCTTCCACTTCAGGAGCAATGGGCAAGTACAACAAAGCTTTGGAATCTTCTAGCTCTTCATCACTGTCAGGAAAATATTACTGTGTTCCAATTAATAATACAGAGCTTGTAATACAGTAATTTTTTTGTTCATTTGTGCTTACTTCATCCAGAACAAACAGTAGCATAACCCTGGGAATTAAAATCTTGGGCTCACTATATAAAAATTAATCTCTCAATACTCTAGATGTGCTAGAGTACAAATCCATCATCCCATGTCAACTGGAGATGAGAGAAATTTCTATCAAAAACATCTGACATGTATACATCTGGCAAGCTGCTCTATACAATGAATTCACCCATTACAAAGACAGCAATCCAGGTATGCTGCTGAGTGTACATTCAACTGAGTGTACTTGCAGTCAGGCATGTTTCTCTGGGATTCCTGTACAAAATCAAATTTTATAAATATATGTAGATCTTGGAAATATATTTTTCTTGGGTACAAATATTAAACAATCTATTTAATTATAATCATTCAGTCAGTGGCCATGTTAGCTGCATGATTTGAGGACTATAGTCCAATTAGTAACATTTTCAAGTTCTATATGTGCTTTGAATCCACAAACATTTTGATTTGTACATCATAAAATGTTATATATGGGGTGGTGTAAGAGTACATACATGTATTAACCAGCACGAGGATGCCAGAATATTTTAGTCTTGCAGAATCACATTTTGTAACAGAAGTCACACAACACTAGTTTTGTTGTGTCTTGGTGTATTGTTTATTGCTCGTTGTTTAATTTTGCTTTAACTGTTTTTAATTTGCTTTACGTTGTGTATTGTTATGTTGTGTTTTGAGGCCTTGGCCTTTGTAAGCCGCATCGAGTCCTTCGGGAGATGCTAGCGGGGTACAAATAAAGTTAATAAATAAATAGGCCCATTAAATATCAATTTTACAACAGTGTTACCTGAAGAGTTGTAAACAATGTACTGAACAGTTTTGCATTTTTGTTTACAAAAAAGGTCAAGGACAAAAAATGTCCAAACAATTGCAATCATTACATGTGTGCAGGTTACATTTCCATATCATTTATTTAGGAAATAAGGAGGATTGACAGCTACTCCAAAGACTTGCACATATGTTTTCTGGTTTGGGCACTGGGAAAACACTTGATTGTAGACCCACAAACACTCTTATGGACATTGTGGTATACAAAAATATGACTATTTTCAATCAAAACTTGCAATAGAGAAACTAATTCTGGATGCAATGGCCTAGGCTGTGGAGACAAAATTCAGTGAAATCTAGAATTCTCAATTAAATGCTTTCTGAAGCAGCGTAAGGGACTTCCATAAATATTTTTAATTGGTATATGCCCTTGTGCTCTATTGCTCTCTCAACTGGCCTATTCACAGTACTAGATCCCTTTCTTTCCTGCTCCCTTAACTGGGAATGAAAGGGATAAAAGGACTGAGCATTAAAGGAATGTTTTTCATCCTCCTTGGTCATGCTGATCTGGTTTTCTTATCTGTTGTCTCTACAAACATACTATCAAGTGTTGCCAAAGAACATGTTATATGAAAAAGAAGGGTCAATACTAGGCTTCTGCAAAAAAAAAGTACAGTGTCATAAGTTGGATCACTTTTATATGATTCATACTTATGACGCTATTTATGAAGTGCAAGAATCCCCCCCTTCCAAAACTTAAGAATTGAAACTTACCCCATACTTTCTCGTTTCAGTTTTGTAAATCTTGGAAGGCTGCAAAAGTCATGTTCAGTTTCATGTTTCATGTTCAGTGCAAAAAAGCAAAGCCAAAAAGGCCCCCGTTCCTCTGTAAATTAATGGCCTCTCACTATTAGGAGAGGGAAAGGAGGGAGAAAGCAGAGTTTCCTGGGAAGAAGCACAGAACTCTAGGAAATGTAGTTTAGGAAGGCGAGGAGCCCTATGCCAGAGAATTCAAAAGGCCTTGTCCTAAACTCCATTTCCCAGAATGCATCAGCATCAGAGTGCCCCAATCAGGAAAGGGGAGAGAGAGATTTGGTGGGCTACCAGTGGTAATAAGTTCTACCACTGTCACAAGTTTAACCCCTAAAGCTATAAAAATGATGGAGAAAAGAGCCCCCGAAGTTTTCCCCAAGTATAATAATTATGCGCAATTACTACAATAAAAAAGTAACAAAATTTTGTTACTCTCGTTATAGTAACGATTTTTTTCATTAATGATACCTTAGAAACGCTTTAGAAACAAAGTGCCAGCCCACCCCCTCTGTTCTGTACTGACTTCTGAAACTTTTTTTAATCCATCACATATGCCTAGTGGATACAATAGTCTTAGACTTAGCAATAGCACTTCAGTATTTTAACCACAGATGGCGCCAAACAGCCACCTCAGATGTTGCAACTAAAGCAGGAAAATGACAGAAAATCAAGACTGACAGAAGTCGTAAGTGCAAGTGATTTGGTCTACTTATTCATCCCCATTTCATTTTAGCATTGTCAAAAGGAATTGGCTGCTGGAAAACCCAAGAGATGTCCAAAGAGAATGGCCACCTCTCCATGTGATTCTGAGAGTCCTCTCAGATCATTTCTGGTCTTTTTAGCAGGAGGAGAACTTTTAATCACTGAAAAGGAAAAAAATCCCTGCCAGATCAATTAAAATGCAGAGCTTTCAATAAATGTGATTTCTGAGGGAGACAGGACAGAAACTAGGAAGCACCTCAGGAATGTGGCGCATATATTGTATTTGCTCCACCAAATACAATATATGCAATCCAATTTAAATAATAAGTCCCTCCTTTCCTGAGAAGTAATAGGATATAATCCAGCCCAGACTATCATTGCATACTGCAAGAGAGCTCCTGTCTTACTCATACTAAAACTGCATACAGATTTAAGCCATAATCCTAACTACACTTATGAGAGAGCAAGTGACCCTTAACATGATGGAATATGGTTCCCAATAAAATTCAGGATTTTGCTGTTGACCTATCAACATCCATAAAATTAATTATTCACAGGTTTTTTATGGGCCTTTAACATTCTCTCCACCACAACTTTTACCTGCTACAAAAAGCAGCAATGGGATCTACACTGGTTACATCCACCTCTTCATCCTCTGCCGCATCAGCACCTGCAAAACAAAGAGATTTAAAATCACAAACTGCAAAGAACAGGGAGATTTCACTGGTAGGTTCATCCAAACTCCTTGACAGCACAACAAAAGTGGGAGTTAAGGAAAAACTGATGTACAAAAAGAAAAATATACTACTTTGATTCCCAATTCGTTATGTAAATGTTTTGCAATGGAAATGTTTGTGATTCTACAATTAATTTAGATCAGCCCTAGCAAGTCCATTAGATAATTTAAGAATTAAAAGAAACCTACGGTGGCTTTATTTTATGTATTTTTTTGCAGATGTTCTCAGTAATGTGGCCCTCTCAGTGCCATGGAGAGAGTAGTAATATACTGGTCTGTTCAAATACGAAGTCAACAGGGCTCATTCTCAGCTTGGTTTCAGGACTCCCTGCCCCCTGGGTACCATTAACTGTGGGTGCTCAAGTCCCATTATATACAATGGTATAATATAGTAAAATAATTTTTTTCGGGAGTGTCACCTAGAGGATATTTTAGACATTTACACAAATTTGTTGTGCAGTGTTTGCAACAGACTCTGCAGAAGATGTTTCAGCTGAACTTCATAAAAAGAAAAATCAACCTGTTTGGCAAGCTCTGTAAATGCTGATTTATTATCAGTAAATGTTTGATTTGTATACCTATTTTATATACCTATATACCCGAGGTCACATACAAATTTCACGTGAGGAAAGGGGCCCTAAGTGGAAAATGTTTAAGAAAGAAGCCCTGGTATAAACTACTCCCAACCTAACCATGATACAGAAAATACTGTTGAACCAAAAACAGAAAGCACTTCACCTATTGCCATCTATGCATATACACACAATGAGGTGATGTTTTCATGGCCACAACAGCTACTTTTGTGTTAATTTTATGTGGGACCCTTATTTGCACAAGACAATAAAAATGGCTAAGATCAAGCTCTGAAAGCAGGGTGTCAGTAATTTAAGTTGTGGGTTTTCTAGAAAGTTAAATCATAGGTTGTTTATCCTTGGCAGCTTGAGTTTTCAGATCAATGCATTATTTACCTGTCTGCTCCGGCTCACTCTTATCTTCATCCTCTATGTCAAACTCAGACTCCCGTTCTTCATACTCAACATTTTCATCCAGCTCTTTAAAATCAGGTGCAAAGGCACTCCAGTTTTCCTAAACCACAAACCCAAAGAACATTTCATTGCCATGACAATCTACAGCTGTGAAACAACTTAGCTATGTCCCAAAGGGGCACAAACCACGTGTGCCATCACAAGACAAACCCTCCTTAAGTCACAAGGCCTGTTAAACAAGTAGACCACTTAGTAATGTAGTGTAAAGTCACAGCAGGACCTCTTTCATCCCTTTCATTATTTTATTATCTCAACAGGAAAAGGGAGTCTGAGCCCTCTGGCTACAGGCAGCTCCTTTTTCAAGGGTCCTGAAATTATTCAGCTCTCCCTGAAGAATATTTCAGAAAAGACTCTGATTCCACAACACATATCATTTGCAAATGGTATGGATGGTTCAGAAGAGAGTTACCCAAAAAAAACTGATTCCATGAAATGTAAAAACTTATCAAAGCTTCCACCTACCACTTGATTTTGAGCCCAAATGGATACGACGCCACTGGAAATTGAAGCAATGATAGGTCGGACAGGATGCCACTAAAAGACAAAAGAGTGCATTGAATGGGAACATTAAAATTCAATAGGTGAACTGTCATGACTAAATTAATCCCCTGGAAAGTTAACCACTTACTGCTACATCTAGCAGCAACTCCCCCCTAGTGCCATGAAGAATTTTCACTAGGTTTCCAATACTCTTCTCCCAGATGTACAAAGCATGCTGGCGTGCTGAACCTGCAACAATATACTCTCCATCACCAGAGAAACAGCATTTTTTCCAAGGTGTCCTGCAGAAAAAGGCACAAACAAAGTAGATTTCCCTCTGCTACTCAAGAGAGAAACAATGGTGTTAGAGGATTTCTGCTTCAAAAGAGTAAACTGTCAAAATTAGTCATATGTGCATTTGTCTCTCCACTTTTCCAGGTTTCACTCTCATGGTTTTGATTCTTGGTAAATTTGTGTAGCCATCCCACATCTCCCACAGTTGGGGCTGCCATGTGAACATTTGGGCTCATCATCAGAAAATGGGCAGGGGGTACCTGTTAAAAAGGCAGGCATGCCTAGTGTTTCTGTTCCACTTTTCCTTTGTCCAGGCTTAACAGACAGTCTTGTTGTGTGGGAAGAGCCGCTCCACATGCCAATACACTTATCTCACAGATCTGATTCATCTTTCTCTTCCTGTGTGCCATACATTTCTGTTTTGTTTAGCAAATGAAAAGAGGCACTGGGGGAACAAAAGCACATGGCACACAAGGAAGAGAAACCAGATCTACTGGGCAATAGTTTCCGATCTTCATCTATTTTAACTTATACTCCACAGATAAGATTACATATAAATAAATGTTTGGAAAATATTCAATCAAGTCAAAATGTATTATATACTACTATTGTGAACTTAAATAAAGTAAAAGCTATGTATTTGGGGTTTGTCTGCATCAGAATTCTAAAGTCATTCCTCTGCACTAACTGAACTGCATTTCTATTATTATATTCAGTAAGCCCAGTTGACATGTAAAAGAAGCTAAACACCTCTTTGAAGTATGAAAAAGTATCCTGATAAAGTAGGCATTCTAACTGCCAAGTTTTCTAAATTAAATTGACAGAATTTGCAGGAATAGCAGTTGCTTTTCTTTCGTACTTTTTAAAGTCTTTTAAACAGATGTTTGGTTCCTTTACTCAGGGAACTAGAATCCCTGTACATGCCTATTTGCCCCACTTTCCCTACCTATCTATCACTTCTGTCTGCCTCCCCTCCCCACCTATCCCACATGGCTATCATGCCCACTCTCTTTGCTCACACTGCCTCCACACCACTCTTGCTTGCCTCGCACTTTCCTATCTTTTCCATTATCCCAGCTACCACCCTATGCTCCTTTCCCAAACACCTACTCACCTGTCACTTCTGTTGTCCCTGCTCAGTTCCTGACCATTTTCTTGCCTTATCCCACTTCTTCCTCCACCTTGCCTCCCACCGTGCCCCTGCCTATTCCACCTTCATCTGCCTGCCTATTGCTTCACACCTGCATGTCAATTCAGCTCCTCCCACCCACCTATCCTCCAAGCTCCCCCTGCCTATTGGCTCCCCGCTTTTATGTCTATCATCCCCTGCTCTCCCTCTGCCCACCTGCCTATTGCTAGCTGCTCCATGCATTCCCCCACCTACCCATCACCCCCACTCCTCCCTGGCCTCCGATTGCCCCAACTCCCCCACCCATACACCAATTGTTCTTGCGGCTCCCTCTGCATCCACATCTATCACCACCGTCAAACTAATACATCTGCTGTGAACATTAAACACTAGAAGTAAAGTACACAAAGTTGCCTCAAGACAACGGCTTCCTTACCGGTTCACTAAGTCTTGTAGCTTCTGCATTGGTTCTGGTTCTCCATCTCTACCACAAGTCAAGATTTCCCGACCATCGTAGACTCTAATTATGCGATCAGCAGTATTTATTAGGAAGCAACTGAGGGACAGAAAAGATGTTCAAAGTATGATGCATTTTAAATGTATTTAGATGAGAAACTGTTTCACAAATTAATGTAAGCAACAAGATCAACACATTGGCTTGACAAACCTACAAATCTTTTATTAGATTTTCTCACTGTATTGCAGCATTTCCAGTGTGACAGCTAATATTTTTATTTTAATTGAAGGCTTCATTGTCATAACATAATCTGCTTTTGAAAGTACCTCAATATCAGAAAGTACACTACCATACAGCATATGGACTGTTGTTCAAGAAACACATTCCAAGTTTCCTTGGACATACACATCTATTTACAGTATTTTTATATTTCAGCCATAGTACTTCGTATTATAACAAAGGAACTGCTCCAATTATGGCATCTCAATTTAAAAGATTTTAAAAGACTTTTGAAATAAACCAAGATAATGGAAATTTCTAAACCTCTTTTATAAAGCATTTCTGGTGATCCCTGAGCTACTGGTTGCCAGTCTTTGGCAAATTTCCAGGAAAGAAAGAAAGAAAGAAAGAAAGAAAGAAAGAAAGAAAGAAAGGGCATAAATATAGTGCTAGTCCCTGGCAAACTGTGGGAGAACTATTTCTGATGCTCCGGGTCAGATATCTTGAGAAACCCAGCAATGAAGAACTGAAGATCACTAAATCTCCTGGAAGACCTTTAGCCTCACATAGTCTTTATCTAAAAGTTGCATATACAAAACTTCCCAGTGCTAAAGACACATTGTTTCCAAAAGTAAACAAAGCTAATTCTACAGGTGAATGCGCTCACTTTCCCACTGTTGATGAATCTGCATTCCTGTTGCCTTATTTGCCAGTAATTACATTTGGAGAAAGAATCACCAAAAGGCAATTGGAAAAAGGATTTTGAAAGCACATGGTTTGCATACAGAAGGTCAATTTCATCCCCTGGCATCTCCATTAGAAAGGCTCAAGTAACAAATATCACTCAACATCAACCATAGATAGGAATGTATGGACCATATATAAATCCCATATTCCCTCTCAGTATTGTCTAAACAGGTCTATAATTTTTTTATTAAAAATCAACCCTCAAAACCTGGATCGATTTATCCATGGGTCAATGTAAGTACTATACCTTAAACCCTTAGGGGAAAAAAAGGAACATTCCCCTTCTGAGTAGAATTTAGTTCATCCCTTTAAAAACACAAACCTTTTGCACTCTTTCCACCATATTGCTTCTTTGTACCGTTTTGAAGGCCTGGGCAAAAAATGGCAACAGCTGATCTCCTGAATCACTATATCAAATCCATACTTTGATATGGTATCACATTTATAATTTGCCCTATGAATTTTTATGGAAACAACAACTATTTACACCTTCAAACAGCAGTCACACAATGTACAAAGGGAAATTGAGGCTTACTCACTGCCCACATTCCAAATAAGAATTGTGTACACATGCTCACACAAGACTATATATGTATAACCATATAGACCAGGCCTGCACAATATGGCATTAGTAAGGAGCTGAAATTAAATAGGCTAAAGCTTTTCAAGCTGCAGATATGTTTTTAAGTGTCCCACTTTGGCTTTGTGAAAGAGCGCCTTTCCCTCAGAGCAAGCAAAAGTGGATTAGCCTCAATTTCCTCACCACCCCTTCATGTGATGGTAAATCAGTCCTTTTCTGAGGGAAAGATGTGCCTCAGCTCTTGTTTCTGCTGCTTTTCCTTTCACTTTGTTTCTGAGTGCCTCTATCATCTCCTTCTCCTATAGAGGGAAAAATCATCAACTCTGTGCTATTCATTTCCCTCATTTGTGAGGGAGAAACTTAGCTTTGCTATGTTGACCTCACAACAACCTCATAGTGAAGCTACATTTTTTCCTCACAAGAGAAGGAAAGGAATGGCACAGAGTTGGTGGTTTTCCCACTGGAGGAGGAGATGACACAGGAAACCCAGAGGCGAAGAAAAAGGAAGTTCAGCATAGTCAAAATTCTCCCTCACAAGTGAACAGTGTGGAATTGGTGTTTTTGCTGGCAGATGAATAGGTAACAAAAGCAAAGGGAAAGAAGAGTAGTAGAGGTAAGAACTGAGGCGTTTCTTCATCATCGCCTCCTTCTCCCTCTAAAACGGCCAATCTAATGTCAAATTTTAACCTGACCTGGAGCCCAAGTTTCCAACCTCTTTGAATAAAGGTCTAATACACCTTGAAACTTTATCCCCGCTCACCACTACTCTAACCTGAGGCTAACAACCTTCTCAGGCCATGTTTCCAACTAAGACCAGCACTTCTAGCATCCTGACTGGATCAACCCGTGGTGCCCCCTTTGTCACAGGTTAGTTTGAGAACTTTGCTGACTACAGAAAGGAAACATGTAGAGAGAAAAATACTAACAGGAAAGAATGGTGGGTTCCAATGGCTACTCTGTTGTAGCACTGTATATGACCTCCCTCTCTATGTCTTAGGCTCAGAGTCTCTGTGGGCAGCACCAAATCCTTATGAGGGCTGCATCTGGTTTTGATACCACGTGTTTGTGCAAGCCTAATTTAGACCATTGGAAAACCCACATAATTTTGAAACAAAGAAAACACTATTTCTGAACATTCTGTTCATCATACAGAACAGTGGAAGCTGCTAGGGAAGAGCTCGCTGTTCCCCACTTTGTCTACAGTGAACACACTCTGAAGATGTATATATAGGGTTACAGTAATTAACTCACCTTCCTTTTCGCGCAAACTCTATCGATTTAATAGCTGTGGTGTTGCTGGTTCCTGTGGTTACTCTGAAGGAAGCAACAAGGTCTTGAGTGTCTGTCTTTAAGACCAAGATCTAAAGAGGCAAGCAAGAAATAACTGATGTTGCCTATTCACCATACTTCATCTTTATTTAGCTTGTAAGAAAAAAAAGTATGTACAGATACCAACATGTATCATAAAAAGTAGCAATTCTATCAGTGACCTATGAGGTGTTAATCAAGACATGTATCTATATTTGCATATTGTATTCTTTAAAAAATAGTAGTAACATTAAGGGCAGATGATGAACTTAAGACAATGACGCCAATCCTGGCAGAGATATGAGTATCATTCTTTGTGCGTGCAATTCTTTCTCTAAAACATGGGCATACAGAAAGAATGAAAGAGTCTATTCCCATCCATTAGCCAGAAGAATAAGAGCTATCAGTTACTCGTCATGCCTTATTCAAACTGTGTGTATGAGCTTTCAAGTAGCCTGGTGACTTAGGATGAACCCAGTTCTGTGAATTTCTTGAAGCTTTCTTGGGCAAGGATTACTCAAAGGTGGTTCTACCAGTTTATTCATCTGAAATATAGCCTACACTAGATATTTGTTGGTTGTTTCCTATCCATGTAGTAACCATCCAGGATTGGATGGGATCTGGTGTTTTGAAGATATTTAGTCAGCTCCACAAATATAGGACAACATTCTAAAGGGAAATTCTATATCTGTCTACTCAAACGTGCAAACCCCATTGAACTAGTCCTACTGCTAAAGTGGAATTACTACAGAGTATACATCCTTAGGATTGTACTGCACAAGTTATTCAACAGACACTAAACAGTGTTACACAATAGACAGCTGATGCCTGAACCCACTACAGATCAGTCCAATAACTGCTCACCTTTCCTTTAGCATTTCCTGTATAGATATATTCTCCTCGCCTGTCAAATGAAGCCACCACATTTAGATCAGAATCATCATCCACTGGCAGGACAACATGTTTTGAATCAGACAAAGTTAGCATTACTGGAGCAGATTTCATTGGGCATACCAAGACCCTGTTCCTTAAAAATAGATAGGGAAAGGGAAAAAAAGAAGAAAAAGAGACATTTTCAAATGTGAAAATATATAAATGCCACTGGTTTGGGGCATTACAATTAAGAAACACATCGTGAAGTTGGAAGAAAGAAACAAAATCATTACTTCCCATCAGTTTATAGAATCATAGAATCATTGAGTTGGAAGAGACCTCCTGGGCCATCCAGTCCAACCCCCTGACAAGAAGCAGGAAAATTGCATTCAAAGCACCCCTGACAGAAGGCCATCCAACTTCTGCTTAAAAGCCTCCAGAGTAGGAGCCTCCACCACAGTTCAGGGCAGAGAGTTTCACTGTTGAACAGCTCTCACAGTTAGGGTGTTCTTCCTACTGTTCAGGAATCTCCTTTCCTGTAGTTTGAAGCCACTGTTCCACAGCAAAAAAACAAGCTTGCTCCCTCCTCCCTCCCTTCACATGTTTATACATGACCATTATGTCTCCTCTCAGCCTTCTCAATAAAACTTACCTCTCCAACAGAGTTTAGCAATAGTACGTTCTCATGCTTTTTATCTCTTCCATTAAAATTACCTTGTTAGAGTAGTAGGAATAACTAGTAAAATTCCAAAAGTTTGGAAGAAATGATAACGTTTTTATCAACTGAATGGCTTCAACAATACCACATAAATAACTACTTGATTGATGAAAAAGAAATCTATAGAGAAAGCAGTTTTATTTGATACACATTTTATGAAGGCAGGGGATAAATACTGCCATGCTTCTGGAAGAGGAAAAGGAAGATTTCTAACAATGCAGGGAATTTGACTTAGCCTGATAAGTACAGGTTAAAGATTTAGAGAATAGAGGGAGGCTAAGAAATAAGATGGAAATGAAGAAAAGGAGGAGACAGGAGGAAGGAAACAGGGAAGCTAGTGAAACTGCAGTCACCAAGAATGATACCGAAAGAGATTCCTTCTAAAAAGACAAAAATCTTATTTCAAAAAATATATAAATTATGAAATGTCAAGATGGAATGAAAAGCCAAGAAAAGTCAATAAAACACTGAACTTTCTCAAACCATTTCACAAAATGATGTTTTTTAATATTTTAATATTACTTACTGATCTCGGGGATGATACTGAACCTTTAGGATAGGTGAAGGGAAACGAAATCTTTGGTCACAATCACCTGAAAGAACATCCCACTGAGAAACCATATTATCAGTTGATGCGCTGACCAACTTGTGACCATCTCGACTCCAACTGGAAGAGAAAAATTAAGACAAGAGCCATTCCTTTAGTTTGAGCTCCATAACAACAATAAATGGTCAGACTCTCATTTTCTGCAGCATTCTAATCCTATTTTTAAATCAAAACCCTTTTGCTGTTGCCATTTTTTTCAACATCAACATTGAGCTAAGGGGATCCCAACTGGAGTTGGGACCCACAGTTTAAAAAGCATTTACACACATCTGTTAACAACAACATGCAGTGTTTACAATGGACTCTGCCAAAAAAAATGCTTCAGTGTACTCCACAAAAAGGAAAATCAGTCTGTTTAGCAAGCCTTGCAAATGCTGTTTTGATTTCAATAAATGTTTGGTTTTATACATATTTTATATACCTATATACCAGGGGCCATATAAAGGCAGAAAAGAGTTGCAAGTGGGAAAAGTTTAAAAGACCTGCTTTAGATTTCTTCAGCAGCATTTCATGTTTGATACAAAGTGCAAGATGCATGCATGATTTATGACTGGGAGCATACAGGTTTTTTGGATCATGACAAATGGTAGTAACAACAGGTATTCCATATTAAGCTAAACATTTGAATTGAAAATACACATTCTGGTTTCAGCCCAAACTGTAGGCATGCTAGATACAAAACAGATTCTACTTCTATTAAGGTAATTTCTTACCATAAGGAACAGACTGGGTGGATATGGGCACTGATAATTTTGGCTATGCCTCTTGTCAAGAAGTCCCAGATGACAATTCGGCCATCATTACAACCCACTGCTAGGAGAGTGCCCCACCTATTAAAAGTACATGTAAGGGCCATACTAATACAGTCCAAAGTGCCATCAGCTTCCTGAAAGTAAAAAGGTATAGAAACAATTAGGATAACTTAAATATCTAAGCTTTATGAGTGGCTTACTTCCTAACTTACAACTGTTTCAGATAAAACAAATATAAACCCACTGGTGAAGAACCATAAATAGAAAGGATACCATTTTTATAAATAGATACATTTATGTGATAAAATTTAATTTAAACAATAACTGCTCACTCATATTACAGCTCCCAAAAATATTTCACCCTATTTCTAATACTATAAAACGGTCACAAGTCAAGCAGTATTTGAACACCAGGTTTAAAACTAAAAAGGTATTTACCTCTGGATAGTTCTGTCCAAAGGACTCTGAAACAAAAAAGCAGAAAGCATGAAAAGATTGCATAAACTCTTATCACACTAAGTTGTTTAAAAAATGCCCTTCATAAAATGGAAGTAGCATGCCAAATAGTGCATATCACTTACTTACAGGATCAGATTTATTATTTCATTCTGGGATCCATATCCAGAAAGTGGAAGCAGATCTCCAGCACAGTGTTTAATGTATTCTTGACTGGAGAGCAAGAGTCAGATCTGTCATTTAGGCAACATTAAAGCACTACTTTCCAGAAATGATAAGTGAAATAGCAAAATGAAGGTAAGATACAGTTAAAGGTTCCCTCTTGACATTACGTCTAGTCGAGTCCAACCCTGGGGGGTGGTGCTCATCTCCATTTCTAAGCCAAAGAGCCAGCATTGTCCGTAGACACCTCCTAGGTCATGAGGCCAGCATGACTGCATGTGTCGTTACCTTCCGGCCAGAACGGTGCCTATTGAGCTACTCACATTGTATGTTTTCAAACTGCTAGGTTGGCAAATGCTGGGCTAACAATGGGAGCTAACCCAACTCCGCGGATTCGAATTGACTTTTCGGTCAGCAAGTTCAGCAGCTTTGTGGTTTAACCTGCTGCATCACCGCATGGCAGCAATACATGAAAAATTTCAGTAAGGGCTTCCTCTTTGGAATTTATACAATTATTATAGAAATTTTAAAATAAAAACTGCATAAAAATTGCCTCCTGAGTTTAAAAAATGTAAGAAAAAATATTATTTTCTATACAAGGCTACTGCTTCTAGGAGAGGCACCATGGCCTGTCTTACCAGGAAATTCCTTACGCTAAATTCCATAGTTTGATTCTAGAGCCCCTTGTGGAGGCTCAAGTCCCAGTATATACAATGATGTAGTAAAATGATGCCCATTGTATAAACAGAAAAATCAAGCCCTGTTTTTTTGGATTATTTAAAAAAATATTTTCAAGTCATGGTGGTTGGACCTATATGCACAAAATCCGTAGATATGGAGTGCTCATTGTAATTGGTAAGCCAGACAAATACCTCTGTGATGGTCACTTGAGAACTAGCTGTCTGCCAAGACAATGCAAACACCAATTTTAAGAGGGTTTTTTTTTCCCCCAGGAGAGCAAGAGTAAAGGAAAGAGTTAAAGACCACTTTCATATATGATGCAATCTCAGTCTTTATCTTTATCAATCCCTCTCCATCCTGATAGAAACATATTTTTAAAATACAGGCAGTCCCCGAGTATATATAATCTGAACAGAAACCAGTCTTCAATCTATCAAAAAAATGGTTATGTTGTAACTATGGTGCACAAGGCATTCTTCCCCTTGTTCTTCATGACAACTTCCAGTCCAGCTGGCTCAGGGCAGTCTTAAAAGCCCTACAACAAATGAGTCTTTCCACTCAATCTCTTTTAGGAATGGAAGATGACTGAGACCATGCACTAGTCAAACAGATAATCTTTGATATAGGCAAATAGAGTTCATGAAGTCACCCAAATTTTGAGCACCAGAACATTTAAGATGGCAAGTAACTACACCTTATTTTCATTTCCTTAATAACAGCATTCTGAGAAGATAGTTCACTCCGGCCATATGAAACTCTCTTCCCTCCAAGGTGTTAGAGGGCAAATATAAGAAAATTCCACTTGAAAGGAGGCTTTGACTCTGCCCACCTGCTGAAATAGATTCCCTAGAGCAGGGGTCCTCAAACTAAGGCCCGGGGGCCGGATGCGGCCCTCCAAGGTCATTTACCCGGCCCTCGCTCAGGGTCAACCTAAGTATGAAACTACTTAAATGCACACAATAACAACAACAATCATAACTCATCAGCCAAAAGTAGGTCCACATTTTCCATTGAAATACTAATATGTTTATATTTGTTTAAATTGTTCTTAATTTTAATTATTGTATTGTTTTTAAATGTTTTTGCACTATAAATAAGGTATGTGCAGTGTGCATAGGAATTCATTCATGTTTTTTTTAAATTATAATCCGGCCCAGCAACTATTTGAGGGACTATGACCTGGCCCTCTGTTTAAAAAGTTTGTGGACCCCTGCCCTAGAGCATGTGCTTTTTAGATGCCCTATCTATGACATGCCCCATGGGGAAGTCCTCAGTAAAGTGTTGGTAGGCTTGTCTGGCTCAAACTTTAAAGATATATTGGCCTATATGTTAACCTGTCTCCGAGTTACAAACATTCAAATTACAAATGGCTCATAGTTAAGAACAGAAGACAACAGGAAGTGAGATAAATTGATCCCTAAGATGAGAAATTCACTCCTGGAACAGTTATCATGGAGAAAAGGGGTATCCACTGAAGCTTTATCCTCAATCCTTATTTCTACAACAAGTCTTTTTTTTTTTTTCAAAATCTAATTATCACAGGGACAGAAAGTGAGGTGGAATCTTCTGAACAGATGTGTGTGTATGGCTGGAGTTACACTGAAAATAATATACCTTTTCTGACTTAGAAACAAATTCAACTTAAGATCAAACCTACAGAATGTATCTTGTTGCTAACTTGGGGGCTGCTTGTATATACAAGTTGAGCATCCCTTACCTCAAATGTTTAGTAACAGAAATATTTAGAGGACTTTTTAAAATGAAAAATGGAATTTGCATATATAGAAAGAAAGAGATTACTTTACAGCCTCATCACACTAGAGATGGCATTGGCAATTTTCAGCCCTCCTGGTGTTTTGGACTTCAACTCCCACAATTCCTAACACCCTGTTGGGAATTGTGAGAGTTGAAGTCCAAAATACATGGAGGGCCAAAGTCTGCCCATGCCTGCACTAGAACATGGATCCACTTTAAATCTGGTTTCTGCCTCCTGAAGAATTCTGGGGTTTGTATCTTAGTGAGGCACAAGACCTGCCTGGCTGAGCAGTTTAAAGGCCCCTCCCTAAACTACAAGCCCCAGAATTCTGCAGAAGGCAGAAACTGGATTTAAAGTGGATCCATGCTCTGGTGCAGTGGTTCTCAACCTGTGGGTCCCCAGATGTTTTGGCCTTCAACTCCCAGAAACCCTAACAGCTGGTAAACTGGCTAGGATTTCTGGGAGTTGTAGGCCAAAACACTTGGGGACCCAAAGTTTGAGAATCAATGCTCCAGACTTTCAAGACTACCTTTTTCTGGCCAAAATAATATAGAATAGATGCAAGAATTGCCTTTTCTGAAAGCCTACAACTCCCAGAAACCCTAACAGCTGGTACACCAGCTGGGATTTCTGGGAGTTGTAGGCCAAAACACCTGGGAACCCACAGATTAAGAACCACTGCTCTAGTGTGATGAGGTCCTTTGAGATGGGACCCACCTCGAAGCATGAAGTTTGGAGCATTTTAGATATACTTTAGACATAAGTCAATTTTATAGCTGAAATGTTTGGGAGTGAAGCAAACTTTGTGGATATTGCAATACTAGAAAGCAAGGGGTTCGCTCTCTGTGTCATTGAAGGCTTTCACGGTAGGAATTAATGGTTTGCTGTGAGCTTTCTGAGCTGTATGGCTCATTTTCTCCTGATGTTTCACCCTCATCTGTGGCAGGCATCCTCAAAGATTGTGATGTCTATTGGAAACTAGGCAAGTGGGGTTTAGATATCTGTGGAATATCCAGGGTGGGAGAAAGAACTCTTGTCTGTTTGAGGCAAGTGTGGAAGATTGGCATTTAATGCAAGGCCATTAAATGCTAATCAAGCTGGCCAATTGCACCATCCTCAAGCAGAGTTCTGTACAGGATGCTGAACCTGTAATGCAGGCATGGGCAAACTTGGGCCCTCCGAGTGTTTTGGACTTCAACTCCCACAATTCCTAACAGCCGGTTTGGACTTCAACTCCCACAATTCCTAACAGCCTACCGGCTGTTAGGAATTGTGGGAGTTGAAGTCCAAAACACTCGGAGGGCCCAAGTTTGCCCATGCCTGCTGTAATGCATTCGTGAGGGGTGCTGTTGAATGATCCCTCAGCATCTGCAGGACCTGCAATTGTGGCTCGATGCTGGAGAGGACAACGCGAGGAGGAAGGACCAGGGCCTACCCGGCTGCCATGGCAACAGAGCCAAGCTTGACAGGCGATTAGGCCCTGGATCCTGTCAGCTTCGGGCGAAGGGAATAGGGCGCGTGAAAGCGAGGCGGGGGAGTGGGCCTCGGACCTTTCCAGCTGGTGAGATCAGGACTGAGGCCTCCAAGTGCCTCTTACTCCCTTGGTTCCTGCCGCGACGCCAAATAGTCCCATCGCCCAGCTCTAGCCTCGCATCCAGGCGCCTAAGCGAGCGGCCAGGCCTCCCTCCCCGCGCCCAGGCCTCCCTGGAGGAAAGGAGCGCCTCAAAGCCACGCACCTAACAACTCCAGGTTCATCTTGGCCGCTCTCTCGCTCCGTCCGATCCCGCTCCGGAAGCAAGGACCCGGGGTCCTCCCGGCGGAGAAGCTGCCCACCACGCTGCCTGAGCAAACCGCTCTTCTTCGGGACTTTTTCCCCTCGACGTCACGCTCCACATCATCTCATGCTCGCTGTCGACGCGAGTGACCTGAAAAACAGCGCCGCGGGAGAAGCGTCCCGGCTTTTGGAAGAAAACAGGCAGCGCGATAGACAGCTCTGTATTTGCGCCCTGCAGATAAATAATACCGGGCGGAAACAAAATGCTATGACGAAAAGAGTTCCGCAGAGGAAAACGCGGGGAAGTGTGACTAGGGTTTATGTGACTGAAGGAATTGGGGCGGGAGGGAGCAGGAAGGAAGAGCTCTGAAGGAAAAGAATAGGGAAGGGAAGTGCAGGCCTTTATAGCTAAATCATTATCATCTAGAGAAAACGCTGCACTTCTGGAGGCAAACTTCCCCGTGCTTAAGGTGATTGTGATGTTATTAAGCTCTACTACCCATTGAATTGAATAGAGTTCCCTTCTGAGTAGACGTGGTTAGGACTACACTGTGGGAACTAATGATGAGAAGGAAGCTACTATGCAAAAGTAAAGTGAATAGGGATAGGGAACCAGCAGCTTTCCAAGTATTATTGGACTTCCAGCTCCTGGTGGTGCAGCAGGTTAAATTGCTGAGCTGCTGAACTTGCTGATCGAAAGGTTGATAGTTCGAATCCGAGGAGCGGGGTGAGCTCCCGCTGTTAGCCCCATGTAAATGCGAGTATAGCAATAGGTACCGGTTTGACCGGAAAGTAACAGCACTCCATGCAGTCATGGCCTTGGAGGTGTCTACAGACAACACCGGCTCTACATGACCTTGGAGGTGACTATGGACAACATCGGCTGTTTGGCTTAGAAATGGAGATGAGCACCAACCCCCCAGAGCCAGACACGACACACGACTAGACTTAATGCCAAGGGGAAACCTTTACCTTTACTAGGTCCTGCTAGCCCCAAGCCCCTTGCACACAGCTGAAAAAAAATCCCACATTATCTGCCTTGAACTGGAATATATGGCAGTGTGGACTTAGATAGCCCAGTTCAAAGTAGATATTGTGTGATTTTCTGCCTTGATATTCTAGGTTATATGGCTGTGTGGAAGGGCCCCCAGATAGGCTATGGCCAATTGTCGGGGATTATAAACACTGCATTTATGTTGTTGTAGGTTTTTTTGGGCTATATGGCCATGTTCTAGAGGCATTCTCTCCTGACGTTTCTCCTGCATATATGGCAAGCATCCTCAGAGATTGCGACCTCACAATCTTGCGACCTCACAACCTCTGAGGATGCTTGCCATAGATGCAGATGAAATTTCAAGAGATAATGCCTCTAGAACATGGCCATATAGCCCTATAAAACCTACAACAACCCAGTGATTCCGACCATGAAAGCCTTCGACAATACATTGCATTTAAGGTTCCCAGGTGAACAAAGTTCCATTTTCTTATGGCCAAAGACTGGATCTCAGTAATGTTGTATGGCGCATCTGTAGTTTTAATGCAGCATGAAACCACTTTAACTGTCATGGCTCAATACTATAGAATCATGGGATTTGTATTTTTCACATTCTTTAGCCTTCTCTTCTAAAGAGTGCTGCAAATCCCAGGATTCCATTGCATTGCGCCATAGCAGTTAACATGGTGTCAGAGTGCATTGATTCTACCTATAGAAGGCGAGTCCTTCTAAAAGCCACAGAAATGTGCTAGTTGAGAGACAGATCAGATCCCCGGGCTGGAGAGAGGAGAGGTTAATCTGAAAAAAAGGTCCCCACAATTTGGACAAGACCCATCCAGACAAGTAATATGGCCATCCAGAACATAATAATAATAATAATAATAATAATAATAATAATAATACTTTATACCCCGCCACCATCTCCCCAAGGGACTCGAAGCTGCTTACATGAAGCCAAGCCCAACAACACATGAATAAAAACAACAGGGAATAAGCAAAATAAACAATACAGTTAATATAACACATATAGACAATAGCACACAAGGATTTAAAAACCTATAGCCGGGCCAGATGTAATAGTTAAACTTTAAAAATAAATGCTGGACATGAACAGAGGATGTATCTAGTAGGAGGGTTTTAAACGAAAAGTAGAGAGGAGCCCAACAGGTAATTAAAGTGCTTCTCAGGATATTTTGCAGGGAATTGTTTCCTTTATTCAGGAAAGGCAAACAGCCACGTTTTCAGAATAGAGCCTGGAGAGGGAGAAACAGCATAAAAAATGGGGAAACTGGCATTTAAAGCTTAGCACCATCCCTAATAGGGTTTGTATCCCATTCCTACATTAACTAGGACATGAGGGAGTAGTTTTAGATCGTACACCTCTGCTAGGGTCTATGGAATGTAGAATGCTAACCCAAGTAGGATATTTCTTGGGTCTTCCACTATGGTTGTCAAGGCTTTCTTGCTCACAAGTGCCTTGTTTTCAGCTGAATGATCCCAAAGATATCCACCCCATTACCTGTACCTTCAGTCCTCCTCTACTTGTTCTTGGCTTATAATGGTGTGTCTAACACTAAATCAAACACCAGTTAGTTGAGCCAGAGGCCCCTGGTGCCGGCTGAGAATAGGTAGAAGCTTCAAAGGGAGAGTGCAGATTGGCAACAGGGACAATCTCATGTCAGACTATACCATTGTATTATTTGCCGCCCCAAAATTATCTAGAAATGAAACTGTAACTGAAAGATTTCCAGATTTTGCTTTGGATATGCAACAGGACAAAAAAAAAAAAAAAACACCAGCCAAAATTCCTCTTTCTCCACAACTATTAAGGGTACAAGAGTCTTCCACTTTGGTTATTCTAAATGTGTGTCTGAAGGCTTTGGGGAAATTGAAGATACCACTTAAAGGGGGAGGGGGAGCTATATGCAGTTTTCAGGCCAAAAATCAAGCCTCCTTTTCTCCAGTGATTTTGAAAAAATAGCTTGTTGTGATGATAAAGCTTCAGTGGAGACACCTTTTTCCCCATGATAACTCTTTCAGGAGTAATATTCCCTTCTTAGGGTAGATTAATCTCACTTCCTGTTGTCTCACCCCCATTCTTAACTATGAGTCGTTTGTAAGTCAGATCTTTGTAGCTCGGGGACTGCCTGTAATGGGCAGCAATGCATCTTTATCTTGCTTTTGTGACTTATAGGTCCTGATTTTCAGCTGTGAAATACTGCCAATTTCAGATTTTGAAGTATTTTGAAATATTTTGGATTTTTGCATATGGGATGCTCAACCTGTAATGCAGTGGTTCCTAACCTGTGGTCCGTGGACCACCAGTGGTCCACAAGAACAAAAATATGTTCCATGGCCATGCCATTATTACTATGGATAATAATAGAGCCCAATCACACACAAACATTCTTGGTGTCTTCGTTTTTAGGCCTGTTCCTGGGGTTATTTGGGTCGACCACATCAGCTCTAGATTATTAAATATGGTTTTCTGTGGGTGACCAGATGGTGACTACTGAGAGGCATATGTTCTGTATCAGAAACTAGAGCTGATGTGGTCTATCCAATGCAGTTTTATGAGTCATCACCCCAAATAACCAAACCGAAAAGTTGACCAAACAAAAAAGTTTCGTAACCCTTTTGGTAATAATGTTGGAGAGTGGTCCCTGGTTAATGTGGTCCCCGATCAAGTGGTCCCTGGTCAAAAAAATGTTGGGAACCACTGCTGTAATGGTATGGCTTCCAGTTTAGGGAAGCAATGCTTCTCCATACATATTAACTTAATTTGACGAAAGAACAATAAAAGACTGCAGAGGGCACTCTAGTTCATTTTGAAAGCCCAGTCAGATCTGGAGGCGGGGATGGTGTTCTGTAATACTTTTTAAAAACTAGGATTTGTATGAACCATAGGATCGCCACATTGATGGGACTAAATTGAGTTTCTAAGACTTTGTATTTAGACACATGGTTTCTAGCATTGTTCTGATAATCACAGATCCAGTTTCAGGTTTCTTCTTTTCTGGTACTATTTACTCACAAGTTAATACATTGATGTAAAGTTAGGGGAAAGTCTATAAGCTGTTCTGGAACAGCTAATTCGTGCCCATGCACCTTTTTGGGGCTTGGGAGAGGACATCAAGGGCTCAGTATTGGTTGTTTTAAAGCAGTTTCTCAAGCTGTACTCCTCTAAATGTTTTTAACTTCAGCTCTCACAATTTTTAACAGTTTGTAAGCTGCCTGGGATTCCTGGGAACTGAAGTCCAAAACACCTGGAGGAGCACAGTTTGAGAAATCATTTTAAATGGATAACTTTGTTAAGCTATCCTTCAAAATGTGTATCACGTGGCATATATCAACATCTACTATAAACATTAAAGAAATAGAATCTGCATCATCAAATATGTGACATTTTGCCTTACTTTATCACATGAGACTGGCAAACTGACATTGCAGCTGGATCGTCACATTTTGTCACAATCCCTATTATTTATTTATTTATTTACGGTATTTCGATTCCGCCGTTCTCACCCTGCAGGGAACTCAGCGGATTACAATGTACATATACATGGCAAACATTCAATGCCATAGGCACACAACATATATAGACAGACACTAAGAGGCTATTTAACATTCCAGCTTCTGGCCACCAGGGGAGCTGTCGCTACACTGTCAATTTGTGACACTGATGAAGTATTTTCCTCATTCTTTGCATACTTCCTGGAGATTTTTATGGCCTTGTAAATCAGTTAAATTAGCCTCCCCACATAAGTGGTACCTAAATTTTCTACTTGACAGATGCAACTGTCTTTTGGGCTGCAAAGGTCGACAAGCTACACAATTTTGGTCAGAAGCTACTCCGGCCCAGGCTGGCTTTGAACTCATGACCTTTCGGTCAGTAGTCATCTTAATGTAGTTAACTCCCAGCCAGCTGCGCCAGTCCTGGTGCATGACGCCATGTGCATTCTTCTCCATCCCTCACCCCCCTCTGTGATTCTCCCATCCCCAGCCATTGGCAAGTAAAACCCCTCAATAGATCCCAATTCTACAATGTTTCCATCATCTACCCTGCTTCTGTCTTGTCATGTCAGCAATAATGTGATGTCAGGAAATGGAATTCTCTTCCTCTGCCCCTCTTTCCCCTCCCTAATACTATTCTGAGGCTGGCTGATTCCTTTTATTTTAATGCAATTCCTTTCTACTTGTGACTATTCATGTAACTACACAGTACATTAGGGTAATTTTTTGGTCTCCACAAAACTTCAAATTTGTATTAGAATGTTTGAGGTTGACCATCTAGATCTTGTTACAAAAGTCATACCAATAAAAAGTACTTTGTGCCCAACAATCTATTTCACATAGAACCAGAATGATTTCAGCCTGTCCACAAGAAAAATCATGGTTACCCCAAGCTCTCTATATTTCCGCAGTATAGAGGGTGTTACTTTGTTTCTGTTTAACTGGAAGTCAGACATCCTAGTAAATATACCAGACATCTAATTGCAGAATATTTAACTTGTGCCCGTCACAGCATTATTATTGGCATGTCACTGGCCACTTTGCAAAGAAAAGCATTCACAATGACTTAATCCCAAACATGTTTCCACGGGCCTTATAGTTTAAAATTTACCTATCCATATCTGTTTCTCACCCTAAACTGTTGATTGTAAACTTCATCTATTAGAGCAAAAAACCTTGGGAGGGAAGAAACATCATACATTTAGTCATAAGTAACTACATTAATTTGGATACTATTTATTTATTTGTTTGCTATATTTGTATACCACCCTTCCCAACCCTGAAGGGGATGTAGGGTGGTTCACAGTGGTTGGCAGTGGTCCTTTGATAATGATAAAAGTATAAAAGTAATTAGCCAACAGTGTGATGCAGCAGCTTAAAAAGCCAATGAGATTTTGGGCTGCATTAAAGGGAGTATAGTGTCTAGATCGAGGAAAGTCATGGTGCCTTTGTATTCTGCTTTGATTAGATCTCACCTGGAGTACTGTTCTGGGCACCACAGTTCAAAAGAGATATTGACAAGCTGGAAGATGTCCAGAGGAGGTCTACTAAAATGATTAAAAGTCTGAAGACTGTGTCTTATGAGGAACATCTTAAAGATCTAGATATGTTTAGCCTGCAGAAGAGAAGGTTGAGAGGAGACAAGATAGCCATATATAAATATGTGAAAGGGTGTTATATTTCTGCTGCCCTTGAGACTAGGACTAGGAGCAATGGGTTCAAATTACCTGAACAGTAAGAACTTCCTAATCATACAAGCTGTTCAACAGTGGAACTCTCTGCCTCAGAATATACTGGAACCTCCTTCCTTGGAAATATTTAAACAGTCTGGATGGTCATCTGTTAGGGATACTTTGATTGTAGTTTTCCTGCATGGCAGGGGTTGGACTAGATGGCCCATGTGGTTTCTTCCTACTCTATTACTCTATTATTCTAATGGTAGTTTTTTATTGAACAGACGCAAGGAGGCACACTTGCCCCAGTTGTCAAGGCAAAGGCAATATTGGAGCTTTGCCAGCATAAACACATACGAGAACTCCAGTTATAGCCACTGTATTAGCAAGTGTCATTGCTGTGTGTTTGCCTCTCATCCATCCCCAGATAGTGGTGTGACATTTAAAATTCTCCCAAGGGTTTATATCACTTATTGGACAAGTTAATCACACAAACAGTACAAAACGTTAATGCAAACTTTATTATACAGCACAGCACTTCTGTGCATTCTATCATCTATTAAAACAGATCTTCATTATGGCACTAAGTGAAGTCTTGACCCACAGTCGTGTCTCTTAAAATACATATAATGGAGGAAGGGACTGCAGTGGAGAGGATATTAGTACTATAGAATACAAGAGAAATATTTTGTTCTCATTTTCCATGTTATTGCACTTTTCCTATACAGTTTGTTACCTATGCTTTTAGGAGTATTATACATCAGTTTAAAAAATAAAAAGTAGTACAAAATCTGTAGGCATTACAATGAACTGTATAACTCAATCTGTAGGCATTACAATGAACTGTATAACTCTTCCCAACACTTCTTCCTCCCACAGTAGCCAAGTGTTAAGAGTTGACAAACAGTAGCAGAACCAAAACATTTAAAAATGTAAGAAATGCAGTGCTATTCAAGCCCCTGAGAGAGATTCAAATGCAGATGTGCTCTTATTCTCTCTCTGGAGAAAAAATAATAGTATTGAGACTTTTTCTTTTTTTTAAAAAAAAGAACATCTGGCTAGGATACAGAAGAAACACTATGTACAGCTCAAAAATTAAGTGAACCACATTAAACAGGAATACAGCACTGACGTTCTTTTAGCTGAAGTCTGTCACCCTGCAAAAACCAACATTCAAGTGTCTTCTCACCCCTCAAACATTGTCATTTGGAAGGGAAGGAGCAGAAGGAAGGACTAACTTAACAGAAGTGCTGTAGGAAGTTAATGCAATAGTTTGTTTTAATTATACAAGAAAAGCTTTCATTGTATATTCACTACATTAATGCTGGAGAAAACACAAGAAAAATTGTCAGTTGCTAAACAGGAACTTCTACAACCTGCTTTACTACAAAGCAATGCCATAGGCAGCAACAATGTACCAGCAAGCTAAAGGTAATATTCCAGCACCACAACATAGCAGTCTGCTATTGTATTCAAGCCTTGCTTCTGGAGCTAAGTTTAGCTCATGCAATTCCTATGTAGTGTTTGTCCAGAGCCTAAATGACAACAGTTTTCAGAGCAGAAATAAAAAGTACCCTGATATTAATTAGCTCCAACTTTGAACCATCAACTACTTGCACCAGCATGGGTGCCATGATTTCCCCAGGAATTTGTTTTGTAAACTAGTTTTGTTTGCTATATCCCTAGGTTTTTATTTTTGTTTGTTTGTTGTTGTTTTTACAAAAACCTATACTTTGGAGCATTTGGTTCTGCCATTAACCTGTAAACCTTGAATCATGCAGTAAACAAAGTTTCCTTCTGGGTGTGAAACTAAATAGGTGATAAAAACTGGATTCCTAGAAAATTGGACTCGGAAGTAGAGTGGGGAAGGGTTTTTTTAAAATAGATTAAATTGTACCTGGACACAATTATTTTTCAAGAACTTATAATGTCTTTGGCAGATCTCTAAGTTACTGCTCTTGTGTAGTCACTAGAGAAAGGCCAAAGGAGTGATCTTGCTCTGCATTCAATGGCCATTATCAATCCCACCACAATGCCAATGGTGGCATATCATTTTGCCCATGAGGCTAGAGCTCTGCAATTGTTTAGTGTTTGCATTATATACTCAACCAGCAACCATAGAAAGAGCATGAGGACATAAAGAGGGCTGTCCTTTAAATCAAAGGTGGGTAAGTGAAAAGATTGGGAGGGGGATTATTTTCTATGCTGAACCCTGCCAAGGGGGTTGCACCAATATACAAAGCAGCTGTTGGGTAGCAAAAAAAGAAACCACAAGTTTTTTCAAGTTTCTGGTCATGTGTGTGTTTGTGTTAATCACTTATGTAATTTCAGGAGTGTAAGCAATCAGACACTACATCCCTGGTTTAAATAAAAATAAATGCATTTTAAGCAAGAGAACGTTTCAAAAAGAATGTAACGTGTATTCCCTGCTGGGAGACATATCACAAGCTGTGACATCTGCTTAATACTCAGAATTATTTTAAATAATAATTAAAATTACATCCAACAGAGAAGTACTTATATTGTATATAGGACAGATGTAGGGAGGCTATTGCATGTCTGTGGAGGAAAAAACATTTTCATAAAATTGAAACAAAAATTTGAATTTTTTTTTTAAAAGGCACAGGGTAAAGAGTAAGGAAATGCAGAGCTCCTTGGGAAAAGCTATACAAGACATTTTCAAATAGTTTTATTTATTTTCTGTTACATAACTATTTCTATCGTTCCAAAAATACTGACCTAGATGCCCTTAATTTTAAACAAGGTCACTAGCCATGGTAGCACAGTGTAAATGGACATGTAAAAAATAATACTGTCAAGTGACTGGAATGGTGGTCCGATTATACATTGAGTGACATTTTAGGACTTCCTATTTGAGAACATATGTGCTTTTCTGTGAGCATGGTTGGCAGCTATTGCTGCCCATTTCAGTTCAAGTTGCCAAATGCTACAGTCAGTGGATAGAAGTGCTAATACAGTTTAAGACCACCACATAACAATTAATGTCTACTAAGTAAAAAGCAATAATTTTAAAAGCAGTTTTTCTATTTTATTGCACACACAAGAAAGGGTTTATCTAGGAGGCTGAGTAACACTACAAGATTAGGTTCTTGTGGGTTTTTTCGGGCGATAGGGCCATGTTCTAGAGGCATTTCTCCTGACGTTTCGCCTGCATCTATGGCAAGCATCCTCAGAGGTAGTGAGGATGCTTGCCATAGATGCAAGCGAAACTACCTCTGAGGATGCTTGCCATAGATGCAGGCGAAACGTCAGGAGAAATGCCTCTAGAACATGGCCCTATAGCCCGAAAAACCCACAAGAACCTAGTGATTCCAGCCATGAAAGCCTTCGACAATACTACAAGATTACTTTTGTCTCTAGGAGTTTATGTAAACAGACAAAAAGTTGTATTTTTGTTTTGCTCAAGCAGGAGTAATTGGAAGTAAAATATGTTTGCTTCACTGGCTTTGCACAGCATATGGTAAAGTATCATATGGAAATGGAACCAGTCCATGTCTCATTTCATAGAAGTGGAACATGATTATATACTGCATTTCCAAAAAGTTTGAGGCACACTGTGTAGCTGGTCCCTATCCTTAGCCATCCAGGTCTATTCTCTATTCAATCTATATCAACCTCAAAACACAATTATACTAAAAACTAGTTGCTGTGTAAGCAAATGCAAAGGAATTTTTGTTTCAAGATGGATAACCTATAGGAGAAAGAGCCCTTCATCTCTGGACCTTCCTCTCCATGTGCTTCATGCAACAGTGTCCTCAAACAATAAAGTCAAACAAAACCACAAGGAAGTAAACAATGGGCAGACACAGCAACACATGTGTCTATAGACAGGTTTCTCTTGGGTACTCTGTCTTAGAGATGACTTAAAACACACAGATAGCTGAAGGAATCTTTTAAAATGACATGTCAATATTAGAGTTTAAAACAGTCACTGCCTTTATACTTTGTTCAAAAGGAAGAAAACTGCTCTAGTTAAAAACCTCATCTGCTATTTGTCCATGAGAACAGACAGTAGTTGCTAACTGTATTTCTATATGTGCAAAACCTTTTGGTGAAGTACCCATCTTACTGTAAAATTGGCAGTGGGGAGTAAAAAAAGGCCATCTTTCCTCAGATGTTTGAAGAGTTTCTATTAGGCATTTACTGGAAGAAAGATTAGTTCACATGACCAAAAGAAGAAGAAAAAAATAGCTTATACTTGTGGGTATTCCACTGCAGTGGGGCTTTCCCCTTCTGAGGATGAACACTGTGATGTAAACATACCAGGTATTACTAGAAGTCTGCATGAACCTATGTCCCCCCCAAAGCCCATGCTACCAATGTCTGCAGGATTATCGTCCCTATTAAAGGGATACAGCCTCTTTCTTCCAATTATCCACATTCACAATATTCAAGGCAGCTTAGATACATCGACCTCTGGCAGACTGTAGCTGGAGATGCAAATATGCTGGCCACTAGATATCTGATGCAAACAGTGCTTCTTTTTTCTTTACTGAAGCCTGAAAAGGGGGGATAAGCAAAATTCCTAAGAGATTTGAATCCCCTGTCTGTTTTTAATGAAGAAGGAAGCACTATCAACTATCATTAGTAGTGTGTATTGGGAATGAATGTCCCTGGCTACTCTTACGAGTACAATTTTGATATCCTTTCACACAATTGTGGGCCACTCTCTTCCAAAGAGCTTAAACACAAGTTGCCAGTGGCAGGGTAGGGACCAGACTTCTCATATAATTGAACAGTTCCTCCATAGCTTCTTTTTCAAGTAGAATCATCCAACCCTTTGTTTAACTGCTCAGAGTTCAACTTGCAAAGTCTATCCATTATGCCCTGCAACATGGGCTGGACTATTCCCAGAAGTGGGCGCTGGGAGGAGTCACCATCCCAACATGCTTCCATCAATTGCCAACATTCCTCGTCAAAAATTGCAAGGCGTTCAGGGCGTACTCCTGGGGAAAGAGAACAACAATTATTTGGTAAACAGGGAAATAATCAGTTCATTTTAGCTATTACAGCCTTAACTGCCATAGCCAGATATGAAAGCAGTTCCACACAGTCATGCTAGCACTGCACCTATGAGTAGGCTTGTCAGCCAGGAAGAGTGCTTTTGGAAACGAGTTCTATATACCATGGTTTTGTCCCTGTTGAAACTGAGTTGGAATAGCATAGGTCTCTTCAACCTGTGGCCCTCCAGGCATTTTGGACTTCAGCTCCCAGAGTTCCAGACCACTGAACAAGCTGGCTAGGGTTTCTGGAAGTTAGAGGCCCAAACACTTGCAAGGCCATAGGCTGAAGAGGCCTCACCTACACCAACTCAGCAGGGACACAACCCTGGAATATCCAAAAACACTCATCCTGGCTGACAAACCTACTCATAGGTAAAGCTGTAGCTTCTATTAACAGGATTCATTGGAATGTGCAGAGCCTACTTATGTTTTAAACCAGCTCTCAGAAATGTGTAAAGGCTATGACACTGAGCACAGTGGCCCACAGAGAAAGTCACGATGAATTAAAACATGCACAGGAATGCATTCCAAGTGCACTCCTGTGCATGTGGCCACCAAGCAAGCTAGTGCTTCCCTTATGCCACATGCTATTTATTGTAACTAATTTTCACTACCGTGGTCATCCATAAGCTTTAAAATTATCTTTAATATAAATATAAATATCCTCTCCCTGGAAGAAATGGACAATAATTTTAAAACACATTTTAAGAAAAAAAAAGTGTTGTGCAGGAAGCTACAAGAATTCTGATAGCATCTACCACAATTTTCACACTGACTACATTGCTATCCAAATTAAGCATGTTCCAATTATCTGTAATCCTCAACATGTGCTGCAAGTTATTATTACATTTCAAATGTGATTTACCAAAACCCTATCTTAAATGATTTTCAAGTATTAGGTATCCCTGAATTTGAAAGCATTGAATTATTGTTTCCTATTTTGAGAAACTGGTGCTACTATTTTTCTTTGCCTTTCCTTTCCTCTGAGGCTAACAGAGTGTGACTTGCCCAAGGTCATCCAATGGGTTTCCATGGCCAAGAAGGGATTCAAAATTCAAACTGTTACACCATGCTGGAAAATAGAGGGAGAAACCGTGGAGGCCGTGACAGACTTTGTATTTCTAGGTGCAAAGATTACTGCAGATGCAGACTGTGGCCAGGAAATCACAAGACGCTTACTTCTTGGGAGGAGAGCAATGTCCAATCTCGATAAAATAGTAAAGAGTAGAGACATCAGACTGGCAACAAAGATCCTCCTAGTCAAAGCCATGGTATTCCCTGTAGTAACCTACGGATGTGAGAGCTGGACCTTAGGGAAGGCTGAGCGAAGGAAGATCGATGCTTTTGAGCTGTGGTGTTGGAGGAAAGTGCTGAGAGTGCCTTGGACTGCGAGAAGGTCCAACCAGTCCATCCTCCAGGAAATAAAGCCCGACTGCTCATTGGAGGGAAAGATACTAGAGACAAAGTTGAAGTACTTTGGCCACATCATGAGGAGACAGGAAAGCCGAGAGAAGACAATTATGCTGGGGAAAATGGAAGGCAAAAGGAAGAGGGGCCGACCAAGGGCAAGATGGATTGATGGCATCCTTGAAGTGACTGGACTGACCTTGAGGGAGCTGGGGGTGGTAACGGCCGACAGGGAGCTCTGGCGTGGGCTGGTCCATGAGGTCACGAAGAGTCGGAGACGACTGAACGAATGAACAACAACAACACACCATGCTGGCTATCATTACATTATAGCATGAAGAAATCTTAATCCCAAGATTAGAAATCCTGGTTCATAAACAGATGTTTCCCAAAAAGCTGGTCTGAGTATATTTGTGATTTCCAAAAAAACTGGCAAGGTATTTTTTAGAATCTAGAACATCTAGTTTTCTGTATATGGAAAATACATAAAGGATTTTGTCTAGCATAGAGGTTCTCATTGTGCTATAATGAACTTTTATATAACTATGCTTTCCAGTTCAAATCTAGCCTTGTTTTCTCAGAAGGGAGCCTCACAGTGACCAGTAAAGTTCAGCATAGAAACTGTCCACTGGATTCCTGTCTGAGTTGTAAATGCTATAAGCCAGGCATGGGCAAACTTCAGCCCTCCAGGTGTTTTGGACTCCAGCTCCCACAATTCCTAACAGCCAAACTGTGAGAGTTGGAGTCCAAAACACCTGGAGGGATGAAGTTTGTCCATGTCTGCTACAAACCATCAACCATTTCCTGGAAAGATGAGTGTTTGACACAAATTTAGGAATTATATCTTCTTTTCCTTCTATCTAATCTCTTGTAGTTGTCACCTAAGTAAACATCCAGACAACACTATCAAAAGATGCAAGAACATTATGATTACTTCTATGCCATCTGAACTAGTTTCTCTAGCAGCTAAAGGGGACACAGAATTACCATGCATCCATATAGACTGCTGCTTCAGAACCATCTAAATAAAAAATATGCCTCACTATATGCTGTTTGTATATATGCTGTCTGCATCATATTTTAAAACAACTATAAAATAATCACTGCCATGGAACTGTCTGCATGCTTTTCAATCTTGTTGGAATCACCCAAGTTACAAGATTTAAACATATCAAGAGACAAGAAAAGATTCCAGGGACTTTCTTACTTATTATTTTACTAATTTTTAATTTTTTCTGTTTTTGTTTTAATGGATTGTTTTGCTTTTATGTCTTGTGGACATTCTGTCCCATATGCAAGCCACCTCAAGTCCCTTCGGGGACATGGTGGTGGGGTATAAGAATAAAGTTATTCTATTATTATTATTATTATTATTATTATTTCTACCCATTTGGTAAAAACATGAACTGCTTGACAAGGTATTTCTAAAACTATCCTGAAAATTAAGCACTGGCACAACAACTGTAATCACAAAAAATTAACACTCCCACAAGACAAACACAGCCTGACATCCGGTCATTTAAATTTGGACCTTCTGTATAGCCTCCATTCTTTAATAACACTGTTTCAGGCCTTGTTGTGTTGCAACCATGCCTACCTCTTCGGACGTTGTTCCAAAGGTGGTCTTTACTTGCACATCTCTCAAATGCTTCTGGTAGCTTCACATGTCCTGAACAGATGTACCAGAACAAGATGCCAAATGCATATACATCCACAGAGTTATCGTATTTCCCTGGGACAGATTAGCAAGAAATACTAGTTGAATACTACTCATGAGAATAGCAGCCTAACAAATGACTGGATACTGCAACCGTTAAAACTTGCTGTTTCTCATTTATTTATTTATTTATTTATTTATTTATTTATTTAATATACTTGTACCCTGCCCTTCTCACTCCTGAGGGGGGACTTTGATGGTACTTTGCAATCCTCCATCCTCAATCAAGACAATCTTCAATTGTACCAATGCAGCAAGGGTATGAAGAAGTGATTTCAGTGATCTTCCCATCAACTTATGGAATTTCTCTAGCTAGTAACTTCATGAAGTCTAAACATTAGTACTTTGAGAAGTTTATGAAGGCCTGCTTGTTAGAGCAGTAATTCAAGACCAAGGATGTGTGACTTTTAATGTGATGGAGTTTTATTGTAATGCTGCTAAGGATTCTGTGTTTGTTGCTCAAACCTACCATAAGTCTACAGACCTAGGGAAGCTACAGAAGGAGAGAGTTTTACTTAATTTAACAATTCCTTAGTGAAAATTAACTATCAAAGTTACAGAAATGTAGGAGCACACTTTGGAAAATAAGTGATCCAAAGATAATAAATGTAACAGGAAAGGAAGGGATTTTCACATTCACCTCTCTCTCTGCAATAAAACTGTACAGTCATAGTTTCATTTTCATGGGTGGGTTTCACGCTCAGTTTTGATTATTCAGAAGCTGGCACTGCTGTCTCCATGTCAATAATCTTACAGCAGCCCCGTTCTCCTTCTCTTCCTGTTTGCTGCATGTTTATGTTTTTCTAGTATCTCCCTCCCTTTGCCGAAGCAAAAGAGACACTCCCAGCACACAGGAAGAGGAAAATGACCCAGGATCTGCAGGTAGGTAAAGTGGGGCCACCACCTCCTCCTCCTCTTGGGATCATGGCAAGTGTGCTCCTGGATATATTCACAGTTTTTCCACTTTTAGGGAGGGAGGCGGCAGCATATGTAACCCCTGCAAAAGCGATGGGGCAACTAATTCTATTTTAAGCTTCCCAATAAGATACTTTATACCATATCAAACCATTATTACAATCATGTTCTATATAAAGATAACGTAATTTACAAAAGCTTTCAGATAAATTTTAATAAAATGAATCATGCACAAACCTAGGTAGATCCTAGTGTTAATATAGAGAAGCAATTGTCACTGTTATCATTAAGCTGTATTTCTGTGTTTTCCACATTTTCATTGTCCAACATAATCTAAAACTTACTTATTGAGGACTACAGTCCTACAAAGTTTAGTGGGTCTTGCCTCCACATAGAATATCCCTTCCCTAATATTTAGGAAGGTGTAAATGCATCCACCTACTTTCTTGCTATAAGCATCAGATTTTAAAAGTAAAGACATTGGAGAATTGTCATTTTAAGAAAAATCTGCAAGTTCTCCATGGCTAACTATCAACAGGAGGTCCGTGGGAAGCTCACCTGTGAAGAGTTCAGGAGCCATGTGGATAGGAGTCCCAACAATACTGCCAGACATCATTGCTTCAGGTTTGCAGAATCCTAAGTCTGTAATTTTAGCCCTGTTGTTTTTATCAAGCTGTAAAAGATAAGAAATGTTCATATCTTATTTAATACCCTAAAATTAAGCCATTTTAGTTGCACTATCTCTACTATAATCCCATATATAAAACACATCAGAAAAATAGTTTATCAAACCAAAATAAAATCCCTAATTGGTGATAAATTCCTGAAAGTTGCTAAATTGGACAATATCTGATCCTTAGTTATTAGTCATTATGCAACTGTCTTTTGCCAAATGCTATTCTGAGGATTCCAAATGTTGCCTGCCTAAGCTAATGGCATAGAAGATATGTCCTATATGAGACTTTAACCACTGTCCTGAACAAGTCAATCAGTTTTACCGAATGAACCACAATTATTTTTATTGGGTGGACAAGAATTCTCTTACTAGACAGAACTGACATCTGCATGTGCTAGAGCCCATTTTAAATCACCATTAAGCGCTTTTTCAGGCTGTGATTCAGTTTAGGATTTTTCTCTTAGGTCTAGGAAATATATTTGTTGATGCTTACTTAAAATTGAGTCTGGTTTTCTTTAGTTTATAAGAGTTCTGATTTACTTATATGAAGATCAGGCATTCCCCAATTTCCCCTATATCCCAAATAGTCTACTCACTCCTGTTTTTCAGTTTTTAATAAAAAAAGGACAGCACAAATTTTGTGTGTTAGATGGGCGGAGATAATGTTGATCATGCTTTTCTTTCAACAAAAACACCTCCCTGCTGCCCCCTTTTAGTTTTAATGCAAGAAAATATTATTAGATATTGGTTTGAAAACCCCCCACTATTTTGTCTATTGATACTTCATTCCATTTCAGCAAGAAGTAAGTACAAAGCCCAAGAAAGAAATTATCCCTTACCAATACATTTTTAAGTTTGATGTCTCTGTGAACAAGCCCTTGGCTATGAAGAAATCGGATCCCTTCAACTACATCCAAAGCAATCTGCAATCTTATCTCCAGTGCCAACCCAGCCTGAGGGAGGAAGAGAAAAAAATACTGATCCCTTAATGGAGTTTTTCCAAAGATACAGAATATTTATCAAGCTTTTCAAAGAAGTAGCAATGTTAATCTCACGCAACATAAAAAGGAAGATGGGAAGGGAAAAGAAATGTAGCAGCACCTTTGGGATTAACCGCTTTTTATTTTAGCATAAACTACCTGGATATGAAACCACTTCTTCAGATGCAGTACAGAGCATATCCAGGATTTAAGATATGAAGCATATTTGCACATCTGTGGAAGTTGAAGTGAAATGGAATAGGAACCCGAAAGATGCATATCATAACTCCTCTGTAAGGTGATACATATCACACTATATGTATTAAGTCATACAAGAGTCCTTGCAACTGCACACATAACAAAAGGAATCTTTGAACCCAAGGAAACTGATTTTTAGTAAGGAGAGGCTGCACACCTTTAACCTCAGTTCTTCGAGTGGTCAGCTGTGAATGCATACAAATGGGCACCTGTGTTTGGAATCTTCTAAAGCTATTAGGTTTCGGTGGTTATCCCACCCATCCTGAGATACCTCATAACCTTGCTTTCCACCTAAATCCTCAGTTGTACAAACATTGAAGTAGTATCTGAGGATCTAAGGAAAGGCAGACACAATCAGGGGAAAATGGTTTCTGAGAATTCACAAATGTCCACTTGAACTAGTTATAGAAATTCAACCTTTCCAAACCATTTAGCATAACTGGCACTGTGGGGATAGGTTTCAGGAAGCTGGGAGACAAGCAAAACACAATGACAAGGAATGATTTCAGGGAGATAAAAGCTACCAGGCACAGTATTATGTAAAATACCAATTTTAAGTATTTCTATACCTTTAATCCTGTATAGAGGTCTCTGTGCAATTGTTCCATTATCAGTAGAACAGCAATGCTAGAACCTCCCCCATACCCATAGTCTATCACTGAGCCATGAAGGTCGACCAACCGTTCATGTTTTGGCAAGGATCTAGAAAAGATACAAAGTAGTTATCAAGAATGATTGGTCAATAAGACAGGTGAAGATTCTATATATTTCATTTCTTTAAACAAAACAGTAGCAAGCAAGTAAGTGATATTATAAGCAGTATTTTTTAAATCCAAATGTTCCAATGCATTTTTTCTATAGCCTCCAGTTCTAACAATATAAGCAAATATCTACAATATTAACACCACAGATATGGAAGTCCAGTTGACTATCAAATGCAATCTCAAGCTATAATACTTTAGATCAGGGTGTTTGGCCTCCAACTCCCAGGAGCCCTAATTTGTTCAATGGTCAGGAATTCTGGAACCTGAAGTCCAAAGTACCTGGAGTGCTGTAAGTTGAGGAGGCCTGCTTTAGGCTATGTAGATACAAATGGATATGAGGTTCTTTTTCTATAAAGGTGTTCTCTTTATCATGCCAGAAGTTGGACTATCTATTGAATAAACCAAGGCACTGCTAGACTTTTATCAGGATTAACTACACATACCTTAAACAAACTTACAAACTTAATCATATAACTTTGTTTTTTAGATATTCTGATTACATTAAGGATTGTCCTAGTGGTTCCAAATAGCTCTTAGTATATTCAGAAAGGAATTTAGCATCAAAACACAAACTAGATTTACTCATTATTACAAAGACTATATATATCTGCCAAATTATTTCTTATTTAACCTGGTAGTTTCATACCTCATATAATGAAACTCAAGTGCAAGGTCATTCCAGTGCTTCTCATCTGGTGGAACAACAGATTTGAGTGCACATGGGAAGTGCCCTCCCCAGGCATTACACAAGTACACCACTCCATACTGCCCTCGGCCCAGCTCACGACCTAATTTTGGTTTGCCTGAAACAAAACAACTGCTTTGTCAGATGAGATCCATAAATAAGATTTAGTTCTGCATAATTTCCACAGGTGTGACCTTCTACAACTGCATTCTGAGTTCTTTTTGTTTGCACAAGGGAGTGCAATCCCCTGATCAAATATCCCTGAACTCTGAGAGCATATCTTCAGGACAAACAAGGGACTGCAGATTAATGAAGGATCGGTTTGTCAGTCCTTAAACTCCTTCAAATGGGAGTGTCCCATAGCAAAATTCCACTAACAGAAACGCTGGATCAAACGCTGTTTAAACTGCTCATCACAACTATTTGTTCCCTTTCTTAATTTGTATTATGGAATTAATCCAGCATTCTAATCATCCCAGAAATGTCTTCATTCATCAACCGTAGTTTTTGAAGGTTGTATTTAGGGGGTTTCTATTTAGGTTTAATTTAATACATTAACATGAGCCATGTTTAAAATGATAGCAAATATTCAAAACATACAGAACCCAACATCAAAATTTCATTTTCTGGAACAAATAGATAATAAATTCTAACTTAGCTTTCTTTGGCATACAGGAATATAAAAGGAAGAACTGCCCACACTTACTATACTAAATGGCATTCAGGAAGTAATCAGATGGAACCAAAACAAATGTAACCATCATGCAATTATCACATATGTTTTTTAAAATGTCAAAAGCAGAGATAGGTCCTCACAATCCAAATCTACGAAGGCAGTACTCACCATGTAACAAAACATCCTGCAGAGATCTGCTTTCCAGGGAGAGACGGGCAAGCCGAGGGGCATGATCCTTTCGCACTTTCAACCAAAGATCTTCTGTCTTCTCCAGCCTTCCCGAGTGGCCAACCTCTAGCTAATGAGACATAGGCCAAAGCAAAAAGCACTTGAATAAATATGGAAATGGTTTTATAGAGCTGGAAAAAAACAACTGCTTTTAAAAGCAATTTAGTGTTGTTGTTTATATTGTCTAGATCCAATTGTTAGTCTTGGCTAGATTGCTCACTGAATCAAGGTAGACTTGGTAAATTAATACCTATGTAAGCTTTACCGATTCCATGAGTATACTCAACTTTTGACTAATAGCTGAATATAAGATTGTTTCCTTGACTACTTGTTTACAACCATCTTCAAGTAGGGAGACACTGTTGACTTTTCCAAAGCCCTAGTATTAGGTCTTCATCACAGATCACCACCTCTTACATTTATTCAATTTTCTTGGGAAGGGGTGTCAATAGAATAACAGCACATTCTGGTTACTTGGACTGCTTTCTGGGAGTAAAGGGCAATTATCACAACAAAAATGTGATTAACATATTACATGTGTCTTATTCTCTTGAATAATAAGTTAGAAGAAAAAAGTGTAACTGGTTTTCAGCGCTAGATTACAAACAGTTCTACAAAGTTAATCGAACTATGTCAATACTATTAGAAATGCATTTCTCAGGGCTGCTTTGACTTCTGGCTTCTAGCCTTTAAAATGGTGTTATGACACAGGTTTGAAAGCATGCTTAACTAAGGAAGTTCTGGAACGGAATTGATAGTCAATTGTTGACAGGCTCCTGTTAACTCTATTAAAGGGACATTTTAAGCCAACTGCATGAAATATAAAGAACAGATGCTTTTATGGTGTTAGGGGGAAGTGGGAGAAGATTAGTAGATAAATAAAGCTGGTTTGGTTGTGGCACAATCATCCAAGATACTCCTCTGATTTTTTTTTTAACTTGAGAATGATTGTCCTGAAATCTGGGTTGTTATTTATGAAGTATGGTCACCAGAAGTTAGCAGAAATGATCTATGCAAGAGCGGATACTAGGAAGAACCTTCCACCAACTTATACTCCCCTCCCCAGGCATTAGAACATTAATGCAGGGGTCTCCTCTAGCCCTCCATACTGGTCTAAATACTGTATCACAGGAAAACACAAATAAACTACTGTGCTTATTCCCTAGAGCTTTTTGGAGCTGAAGAATGGACACTGTGTTGTTCATTATTAAAGACTTTGGACAAATAACTGCAACATCTGCTTTATATTCCTTCATTCCCATACTATATTATTACATTCAATTCCATCAGCCCCAAAAGGGTCAGGAGAGACACAAAGATGTTCAGGTGGACTTCTGGGTAGAAGAAAATGGAGACAGGACAGGCAGTTAGTCTTTCACTTCCTTGAAAAACTGGAGAGAGTTGGCTGGTCCTTATTCTCACAACTAGCTTTATATTCAAACTGACCTGTCTCAAGGATGCTGCAAAAGCTTCATGAGAACTGTTTAGTCTTGTCCGAAATTGGCTGCAGATGCTTTTGGCCAGCCTGGATGCACTAAGACTCTCAATGGCATCCTGAGCCACTTTCTTTTTCCACTCAGTGGTAATAGCTGGTGGGCTCACCCAAGTAATTCGCTGTATTATCTAAGGAAGCAGAAGACCAGTGTTTCAGCATCAAAGCTCCAGTATTCAATAACCTTCCATCTTATTCATCTGCACTGAAATTCTAATATTGGCCAGATGCAAAGAAATTAGGATTATTAGGAGCAAGACTACAAGACAACTATTTCTGTTTGCAACATAACTCTCAAATTTTCACAGAATATGGCAGAAAATTATTTTATTGTACAATGCCAATAGATATTGATAAATATCATCTTATAAAACAGGTTAGTCTATGAAAAAGTTCAACAGGTCAATTAAAGAATTAAGATTACTTTGAATGGGCTTTTACTGTAAAACATGTATGGCAATACCTGCTTGATTTGTTCCCACAGCATTCTGGATACTGTTGAACCAGAGTGAAAAGTTACTTCAACATGGTAGGCAGCATTCAGTATCTGTAAACAGAAATGTATTATTAATACATAAACAACAACAATTAATTCCTGTTCCATGGATTAAAAAAAAGAATACTGAATGCCCTGGATTCACAATTTGTAATATAGAAACAAGAGCTGTGATGAACTCTGTTTTCTTTCTGGCAGAAAGCAGTGACCTGTTTCAGCCAATATAAAATCAAATACCATATTTACTCAAGTATAATGCACCATCAAATGTAACGCCCACCTCGATTTTTGAGGTGTACATTACAGAAAATCCTTGAATGTAATGCATTCAACAGGGCAGGCATAGCATGCCAAGGAGGCAGGCAGCATGAATAAGACCAGGCAGGAACTGCACTGGACTGAGCCTAGTGGGGTGGGAGAGAGATCCCGAGGGCTATCGGGGATCTGTGATTAAGCGCCAGGAATGATTGGATCATCAGCCGAGCTCTCCTCCTCTTTCTCTGGGTGCCATAGAGCTCTTATGCCACTGGGAACAGCCTCCTTGCCCAGTGTCTGGGATTCCGGGTCTTTCCCATCCTTTCCACGCAGGTAGGTTTATGTGAGCAATCCTAATGTGTCATCAATTCTAATGCACACCTCCATTTTGGCAATGTAATGTGGCTAAAAAAAGGTGAGCATTAGACTTGAGTAAATATGGTAGTTGGATAATCTTGTAGCATCTGATTATTTGATTTCGTAGTGGTTGAAACAGACCACTCTTGAGACTGAAAGAAACTGGTAGCACAAACTTTCATAGACTTGAGTCTACTTCATCAAATATCGAAATTCCACTAGTGGTCATATACAGCTCCCAACTGTTAATGCTGCCTGCAGACAGTTTCCCAACCTCAAACAGCCACTTATTACAGGAAGACAAACAACACAGATGGAGAGATTAGTACAAGACCTTTCTTTCCATAAACCCCTGTTTCACTTCTGCCCACCCATCTACTCAGGAAATGTCACCACAGCACTTAATTACATCACCCACAAAAGTACTTTCATTTGCTCATCATCTAAGATAATATATGCCATCCTTTGTCAACAATGCCCTTCAACACTTAATATTAGGCAAATAGGTCACTCTCTGTGCCAGAGAATAAATGGATATAAATTAGACATTTGGGGGGGAAACAGTTGCAAAACATACGTGGGGTTGCCCTTGAAGACTGCCCGGAAGCTTCAGATGGTCCAGCGCTCGGCAGCCAGGTTGTTAACGGGAGCGGCACTCAGGGAGCACACCACTCCACTGTTGAGCCAGCTCCACTGGCTGCCAATTTGCTACCGAGCACAATTCAAGGTGCTGGCTTTAGCCTATAAAGCCCTACACGGTTCCGGCCCCACTTACCTCTCCGAACGCATCTCCTCCTACGAACCGGCGAGGATGCTAAGATCGTCCGGGGAGGCCCTGCTCTCGGTCCCGCCAGCATCACAAGTGCGGCTGGCGGGGACGAGGGACAGGGCCTTCTCGGTGGTGGCCCCTCGGCTATGGAATGCCCTACCAGTGGAGATCAGGCAGGCCCCCTCGCTATTGGCGTTTAGGAGGCGGGTTAAGACGTGGCTCTTCGAACAGGCGTTCGGATAAGCATGCAATAACATCTGACTCAGAAGACGGCATACTGAACAAGGAATGGTAAAACGACTATGAGATTTGGATCTGATTCTATTCGAGGCGTGATGACGTTTTGTGTATTGTTTGTGGTTGTTTGTCATATATATTGTTCAATGTTGCACATTTTACTGTAAACCGCTTAGAGTCGCCGTTGGCTGATATTTGCGGTATACAAAAGGAGTAAATAAATAAATAAATAAATAAATAAATTTTCCTGGGCATTCCATCTTGGACAGTCTTTGAACAACAATAATTAAAATTGTCTCACTATTTTTTACTTGGCCTCACAGAAACATATATGTAAAATTAGTTCAAAGTTTATGCTCTTTTACCTGTTTTAAATAATTGCTTGTAATATGCACTGAAACATCATGCTGAGATTTCTCCAAACTCTTAAGACATCTTTCCAGAGTGCCTACAAAGCTCTCACGGAGGTAGTCCACAGAACTTATCAGTTTGTTGGCAACTGCTTGATTCAATCGTGTAATTATCAATTCTTGGATTTGCTTAATACAGCATTTAATATCTTTGGAACTAATAGGCTCTCCATTCTCAGGAATTATAACGTCTGAGATGGGGAAGATAAAGAGAAAAAACATAATTATTACAGGAAGCACAACATACAGTATCATTACCCCAGAATAAGCAGCCACCAATATGTGTAACAATGAATTTATTTATTTGGATACAATGGAAACTTTCTAATAATAGCTTTATCTTAAATATTTTCTCATCCTAAAGGTTCAAAATTTTCTGCTTTCTGCCAATTAATCCAGTGTGAATTAGAACATACTCTAAAATGTGAAATCAACAGGGATTACTTTTTAAAATTGAAATATGAGAATGAACAAAAAAGTATAGACTTCCTGCAAAAGAGACAAAACTTCAATTCCTGAGCATTCCAAAGCTATCAAATATTAGAATTGGGGAAGGAAAACTCTTGCAGCACAAGATTTATGGGCATTTTCTTTCCATTGCTTTTCTCAATTTTACAGACTTGTATAAAATCGAACTGTCAAAGTGGAGCACACTCGTAAATAAAACTATATCCATGGATTGTTTACAACTTTCAAGACAGGCTAATCTTGATCACTGGGATAAAATTTCTAAAACTTCACCTCAACATATTAAAACACTCTATGCTAACATTGTTTACAGATTACAAGCAAAAAGCTGGTAAAGAATTTCACTGCAAAGAGATTGTTCAGAGCTGACGTATATACATGCAGCAAATCACAGTAGACTAGAGTTGTGGGGCGGGGGGGGGGGGGGGGGGGGGAGAGAGCACCGGACCAAACAAATTAATTTTAAAGGTCAGGTGCTGTTAAGACATCCTTTGAACATTATTCACTTCCCAAAATCAAAACAACAATTATGGAAAGACTGAAATAGGTTATGCATTTCTGGTGTATAGCCTACTGAATTCAGCAGGGCTCACATCTGAATGAAAATATTTAGGTTCATGCTGCTGATTTGCTTATACTGTAGCATCATTTTTTTTCTAATCAGTTTGCAGGTCTCATCTAAACAGAAAAGTAATCTTTCATGTTTGCAGAATGAATAGTGATTTGCCAAAGTCTAGTTACCTAGAACTCCCAAAAACAGAAGGCAAACTTCATTTCTGAACTTTTCAAAAAAGAAATGAAATCAGAGAATATATTTTGAATTCCAGTGCTGAAAAACTGGATTCTACATGAAGTATTTGATATCAATGCATGCAAATCACTATTGTTCTTCCCCAAGAATGTTAACTGTCTAGAAACAACGCTATCAAAAAGCACAAAGGTATTTATATTTGGTTCAGAACACATCTGTCAACAAAAGATATCTTGTTCAGATGGTGAACTTAGTAAGTAAAACTTACTTAGTAAGTAAATAAAATGGAACTTCTTCTATTCTTATATATGCTTTATACATACGCGGATACAGTTGTACAACAAATATTATGCTTCCACTCATTGATAGCAGAGAACACACCTTGTATGAAATAGGGCATCACTGCACTTGGCATGCCCTCATTACAAATCATGTAAATAGATATCATTACACTTGGAAAAATGTGAGAACCACCATAAACCGCATGACAATTTTGCTAACCTGTGTTGAAAAGTCAAGTGTCCTTTCCAAGTGGCCTTAAAGCACAACAGAAAACCAAATGCTTATCAATCTCTTTTATCAAAATTACCTTTGAATTCCATATTAGCAGCATCTTCCAGCAGCTCTTCTTTCATGTTATTGAGTGTCTCAATTATCATGTCCTTCATTTCCTCTTGTTTGCGGTTGGCTATGCTCATCAAAGATTCATACAGCTCATTCTCTTTTTTACGTGTGTACTCTAGACGCTTTGGAGTGATTTGCAAGTCTCGCTGCATGTCAAAGGCTTGGTTGATGAAGATATCCAGGCAACGGCAATGTACTATGTTCAAGATGGTGGCTGCATCCACCAAGTGCTTTTGCAGCACCTGTTTGGAGAAGGTGCTAAGCAGACGGAGCTTATCCGATTGTTCCACAAGCATGCTCTGGGCTTTGGCATCAGAGGTGGGAGCTCCACAGCTGCAATGGTTGGTACTAAGATAGTCTAAATCCAGCAGCTGCCGATAAAGGGATGACTTTTCATTCTCTTCATTTTGAGGGGATATTAGTTCAACCCCCAAATCTGGCACTTTGAAAAAGAACACAGGCAGAGCAAGTTTCTCTTTAATCCCACGCAGTTCATTCATATCCAGTTCTGACAGTTCTGCCTCACTGATAGCAAAAGTGACGACTGGAAGGACACTGTTAATGTATTCTCCCAAAGTGACTTCTGCAGACTGGAATTCCCGACACGGCGCTACTACAATATCCACTTCCTAAAAACAGTTTTAAAAAATCAGAATTTAAAAATTAAAGCTATTGTGATTGATTTGAGATTGTCAGCCAGCACTGCCCTCCCATCCCCATCCACTGTAAGAAATCTATTCCTCCTCCTTTCAAGGACAATATGAAACAAATCAACAACCCTCCTGTTAGGGCAATGTGATTCTTCAGATAGGAGGTCTCTCCGGGATGTCTGTCTATTTATGAGAAAGATTGGGAGTGTGCTATGTAAATTTATGTTGTTAATTCTTTTCTCCTTCCAGATTTTAACTTTACACTTGAATGTACATAATGAAAGCAAGGAAATCAACAACAAGGAAGTGAGCTCAAACCAGATGACAAGATGGTAGGAATGGCTTCTTACTCTAGAACAGTAACCAACAAGGTGACTGAAGAGTATTACTTTCTAAATGACTTATAAAATGAGCCTATTTGTCAGTAAGGTGGTACACCTGCATATGGCCTATAAAACTTTAGATTTTAGGTGAAGGGTTATAACAGAAAATGCCTTCATATTAACATTTATCATGTAGTGGGAAAATGTACTAACAATCACTGTACTCTAAGACTTATTTTTATACGGAGGGAAATCAGCCTGAATCCCTACCTGTATCATAAACTGTTTAAAATAAACACTATGTTAAGAATTGAAGTCTGTTTCTATTAACAGTTCTTGCCACATTTTTATAAAACTTCTAGCTGATGGGATGTTTTTGGCTCTGATAGCATTGCTGTTCGGGCTGGCTTGAAGTCTGAAATACTCTTATGAAAACTGAACTGGTAGAGAAACTGGTAAAGGCATTAGAAAATCAATAGTTGTTTAAGAGGTAATCCTTTTTGTTTTTTAAAAACAGCCATGATGCATGGGGCATTAATGTTTTCAACCTCACTTGGAGCAAACTTTGGAATTCCCCTAGAAAGCTATTGAGCTGAAGCCAATGTACGAACAAGCACTTTCAACAGCCAACAGATGCATTCCAGTAGAAGTTAGAAAGACATTACTCATTTATTTACTACTCAATAAATAAATAAAAATATTCTAGCTAGTTTGAATCTCCATGCTAGTTTGAATCTCCATCTCCCCTAAACACTCTTCCCAGTTTCCCAAATTAACTTCTAATTGCAGTTTGCCTGACTGTCATGAGACTCCTAAGCACAGAAACATAAAAACTGATGTAGCCAGATAAGAGTATAAATTGAAAGCGATGTTGGATGTGCGACTCTACATTCACTATGAGAGATGGCTCACACTGACAACAATAAACAAAAAGGAAACCAATACCATTTCCCTAAGCCATACGTTTTATAATTATTAATATTTCTTATTTATATTGTGTCCTCATACATACATGGCGCTTTATAATAAAATGACCAAAAACAATGGTTCCTGCCAGAGGCACACAGTCTAAAATATATGTGTGTTCACATACACTGAGAGAAAAGGAATAGCAAAACAAAATCATATAAAAAAATACAAAACAAATCATCCTGATAAAATGCAAAAAACCAGAAGCAGAACCCACAACCATATGCCAATATAATACAAGTAAACTGACTAATACATATAATCAAAATACAAAGTGTTCTAAAAATATGGATCCGATTTGAAATCACTATATCCCTTCAATCACAAACCACCCATGAATGAAGAAGCTCTTGCCATTTGAAAGGATGGGGCATAGAGTTTAAAATCATTACCGTTGGATGCCTCTCTCAGCGCACGAACAGTCCCTAGCCTGTCGTTCACAAGATGGCAACCCCACAACATAAGGTCTAATGAGATCATTTATGGAAGTATTTTTTTAGATTTGCTTTTGGCTCAAAATGGTTACATGATAATTTGATAACTCAACCATTTCCAACTGTTTGTATAATTGTAACCTGTTGCCATGGTGAAATACTGTATACAAGACTACAAAATAACATCAAACTAAAATTCCAAAAGCTTTGGAAACAAAAAGGGTTTTGACTGATATTTAAAAACTAGGGAAGGAGCAGTCTATAAATGTTTATGGAGGTGATTCCAAGAGTATGGGGCAGCAAGTCAGGAACAAAAAACCCAAGCCCAGGAAGAGGGAAGTCTCAGTTACAAGGAGCGTTCATTAAAGATTTCCCCTGACCCACTTCCTGTAAGGACTGAGAGCAATGAAACTTGGCACAGTTATTAGAACTTCTCTACCTAGGTACCACCTAGGGACACACACATCTACCATCATTTTAAGCAACTGTTAACACCTCGCTTGTAGAAGACTACTGGTTGCTGCAAAAGCCACATTGTAACTTTGGAAATCAGGGTCTCATCATCTGATAAATGTTTGCCCTTCAAAAATAACTTCATTGTTGGAAAAAGGTGGAGGTCCGATGGTGCGAGGTTAGGTGAATAAGGAGGATGCGGTAGAATTTCAAAGCCACAGGAGCATGCTTCCATTTGGCCAACACGTGAGTTGTGAACTGGTGCACTGTCTTGCAGAAGGTAGACACCTTTTATGAGCATGCCATGTCTCTTGGTTTTGATGGCCTCCCACCATTTCCACAGCAGTGATGAATAGTATGCCCCAGTGATCATGGTATCCTTTGCTGGGAAAGCCATCAATACAACTCCGTGCTGGTCCCAAAATACTGTGAGCATGACCTTTCCTGCCAAGAGTTGGGCACGTGCCTTCTTTGGAGGTGGTGAGTCATGATGCTTTCACTGCATCAACTGGACTTTAATCTCAGGATCATAATGATGGACCCAGTTTGCACTGAAGTCTGGCCCCATTTGAATTTACAATACCAGTTCTTGAGTACATCATATGATGGGGAATCATCACCATAACCCTCTTTCATCTCATCGAGCATCTCCTTTGGTATGCAGCCTTTCAAGTCAAGGAACTAGAGGACTGCTCTATATTCCACTGGGTCCATTATCAAACCTCATACCACTTCAGCACCTGTAAAATCAAGACCGTTATCAGTTCTGAGTTGTAAACTGCCACGTAACCTATAGAGACTTACATGATTACACACGTGCAGTTTCAGCATCCTGTGATAAATAGAAGTGGATCAGGGGAAATCTTTAATGAACGCCTCTCGTAGGTGGAAAGCCTAGAATTCCTAGAAAGCAGCTCTTGAGCAAGGCAGTTAAAAAAATGAGAACTGAAAGATAGAGGGAGCTGGGTTATATAGGACTTTGAACATTAAAACAAGAAGTTTGTACTAAATCATAGAAGGAATTGGTAACAAAATAAGGGATATTAAAAGTGGGGTGACACGATCAAAACAACAGGACAAAGATAATTTCAGCAGAAGAAAACTGAATGGAAAGCAGAGGACTAAAGTGTAAAGCAGAGGACTAAGACGGTAAAGGAAAAATTGACATGATTTGTTACAGAGTCAACATGAGGAACAAAAGACAAAAAGTCAAAAATAAAGACATGACATCATGCTTCCTTCAAAGCATAAATGGGTACATTATTAACGGTCAGAGAATGAATGTGGTAAAGAAGATTTTGGAGGAAAAATAAGTAGTTCTGTTTTTGCCATGTTAAATTTTAAGTAATTAAGAAGCATCAATGCTGATACAACTGAAAGACATGCTGCAATATGATATCCAATGTCAGAAGAAATTACAGTGTGGAAAGACGCAGTTGGTACATCATTGTCATGAAGCAAACCCAACAAAAGCACATAGTAAGTTGTATTAAAAGCTGCAGAGAGATCAGGGAGAACGAAGACTGAATATGGGCCTTCTGACTTGGCTTAAAGAAGATCATCTGTGATTTTAGCAAGAGCTATCTCCAATGCAAGGGGCAAAGTCCAGATTGGAAGGCATCCAGTACAAAAATAGGAGAAAGTAATCCAAGACAAAATACATGAATAACCCTTTCTAAAACATCTGACTAGAACAGAAACAGTAGAACAGGGTGATAATTAAAATAAACATGGCTCAAGCAAAGTAGAAATAGAGTAATAATATGGAAAAGAGAAGAGAGAATGTCAGGGACAACAGTAATCAAGAAAAGAGAAGCAAAAGGATTAAGAGAGCAATTAGAAGGATTTCAACATTTTGTATAAATTCATCTAACAAGTCAGGAGGAAAGTAGAAAAGACTAGAAGAGATAGACAACGGAAGACCCATCTACCACCCCAACATTCATGGCAACTTGTATGAGAGAAGGAGAGCCCCCCAAAGGATAGGGCAGCTGAAGTAGCAGTATCATAGGCAGAGAGCCAGGTTTCAGTGAGAGGAAGAAGGTGAAAAGATCTTGAGAGAAACAAATCTTGAAGAGAAGCATCTTTAGAACCAATTGAGTGATAGTTCCATAAGGAGCAAGAAGAACGATGCTGAGGAGAGGTAAGACAGTGGATAGGTGTCAGATTATGAGAAAAGGAAGGAATTGGAGCCAGAATAAAGAAGGAAAAGTGGGGAAATTTCAAAAATAATTACCAAGTAAAGGATAAATATAACCTCAGGAAAAAATAGATAAGTTACACAGTAAAAAAAACACTGACACAGCATTAGTAATGAAAAACCAGGATTTTCAGCTGGCTGACAAATAGCATTTGCTGAATTTACCTCACAAGGGGGGCTAGAATAGTTCTGGTCTAGTTTTATAGTTATATCACCCAGAGATGATACGGCTGGTTGCTGAATTCCCCTATCTGCACTTACCTAGAAATTAAAAGGTTGTTGTTTATGCATAGTGGCTTTTTCTTAAAATGGAACAGAGAATGAAGCAATTTCTCTTGGGTATGCTCTCTAAATTATTTTCTTCACTCATGGCCATGTTGCCAATAGTCTGAATTATGAGGCTGTTAAGAGCCCACCTCTTTGAGAACAAAGTTGATGAAAGTGTCCTTGGGCCTGCTTTGTCAAACCACTGTGAGAAAAGGTAAACTCAATAGAAATACATGTCATTTGTGGGTGATGTTTTACTAATTATCACGGGTTTGATATTCTGCAAAGTTTGTCAGCATGCACATGCACATCAGTGATGCAGAAAGGAAAACAGAAGTACTGAATCAAAGAACTGGAAGCTGTGGTAAACCAAGTGTGCTCCAGTTCTCAAACTGGTTCCTACAGTGGAGGATATCAACAGAATTATATAGTAAGTGAGAAATTAATTCACCCACTGGCTCACTTGCTTTGTTTTTGCCTCTCCTGAGCCACAGATACGAATATCAGGACTGAGACACCCCTCTGTTGTTTAAAGGAATCCTGGAAACTGAAAGCCTTTCTGTCTCTCAGTCCAGGACCAGCAAATGCTCCAGTTTCAAATCATTAGGTCTTCCTCATTCAGGAACTAACTTCTGCACAGAGTGAAGGGGGGGGGGGGATCAGTTCCTAGGCTCAGCAAATTCCTATACTGCTTTAGACTTACAAATCTTAGACTTACTAATTTGGAAGTCTAAGTAAAAAGAAAGTGCTTCCCTTCTAACTATTTAGGTCAGCTTCACAGACTCAATAATCACAAACAAATAATACTGCTGGAGAATTAGCCATACATTTTTTTTCAATTCATATGTACTTTGTTCCAGCCACAAGCAACAGAAGGAGTAACACAGCATGCCAGGGCAACTGACAGGAATAAGACATCTGCTACTTGAAATGAAACACTTTGCAGTTTGCCAATTTCCTCAGGAATGTTCTGCAATACAGTGTTCACAGGGAAGAAAAATGATCTTCAAATAACTTCATTTCTCATGCTCAAGTATAAAGCACTCAAAGTGACTCCGTTAGGAACACAGGGCAAACTGTAGAAGCAGTTCTCTGGCTAGAAATCTACAAACTTTCTTTTTGCATCTTTTCTTAGATTTCCTTTAATATTTGTGAAATCCAGAAATAATGAGATGTTATAATGAGTTTTCCCTTGATCAAAGTATTTGAAGTATTCAAGTTTTGAATTATTTTTCAAAATCAGTTGTCAAAATGCCCCATATTGCTTTTCAAAATTTCAAGCTCCAATAGACCATACTTTTAGTAACATGAACACAACAATTAACATTCAAGTTGATGTTTTTGTAACAGTAGGGTTAAAATGTTTATCATTCAGTTTTGATTTGAAAAATGTGACCCAAATGCATACAAGTCCTTCACATTTCTCTTCATCACATCTTACCTTGAGCAGGTTAACCATTTCTCAAATCTGTAACCATAACTCAAATCTATTAGATATTTCTACACAGATCATATCAGATGTAAGAAGGCATATCTCTCGTATCATGCATGGATCACATAAAACATATTTTATGAATATACTAGCTGTCCCCTGCCACACATTGCTGTGGCCCAGTCTGTGTATATGTGCTTTGTGTGTATATATGTGTGTGTATATATTTGTGTATATGTGTATATACGTGTATTTGCATATATATATGTGTGTGGTTTTGCACATGCATTGTAATGTGGGGTTTTTGGGCTTTTTAAGTCCCTTCTGCTATGTTTTTCAGTGTTTTTATTAGTGATGGTCACTCGCTGGCCTGATACGTGTATTGTGTTCAAATCTGGTGTCAATTCATCCAGTGGTTTTTAAGTTATGTTAATCCCACAAACAAACATTACATTCTTATTTACACAGAGTATCTGGGGGAAAAACTAGAATAGTGAAAGAGGCAATTCCAAATCCTAGTTTTCAGAAAAGTCTCCATCTATGGCTTTAGGAGCAAAAGTACAAGCATTAGCCAATCTAATTTCATTCTGCCAAGTATTGAAATATCTAGTGGGGACAAAAGGAAATAATTAAGGAACTCAAGAAAATTCCCACTAGGAGAATTGTAGAACTTTCAAAGCATAGTTTGTTGCCGCAGAGGGAACAAATGCCAGGCTACTTCCAAGCCTGCTAATTGCACCCTTCACACTAGTTTAACAGACAATGGTTCTTTCCTTCCATCCTGGACATTCTACAGGTATATATACTCCACTTGCTTGACTACTATCAGATCTTCTGAAGATGCCAGCCGTAGATGCAGGTGAAACTTCAGGAAAAAATGCTACTAGAACATGGCCGTAGAGTCCAGAAACCACACAACACCCCAGTGATTCCGTCCATGAAAGCCTTTGACAATACACTCCAGTATTGTTTAAGATGATAAAGCTCCTCATGTATAAATGTAGAGATGCCTGCTAAAGAATGCAAATGATGTAACATTTTATTTCTTATAAAAGTGTAATACCTTACCTGACATATATTAAAATGAATGATGCCTTATGTGCAATATACTGTAAGTAATGTGTCTACTTGACACTGAAATGTCAAAGTTTCCTATGGGAAGTATGTATGCTCAAATATCTATGAGTAAATAGCCTAAAAGAATAACAGAAAGTTCCTTGTCCCATTTAAATATTCTGAGATTCCAATACTTAAGAAGATTCAAGTGAAGTGTTGATGCTATCTCTACCTGTTCAGATTTTACCATTGGTAATTATCTGGATGCCTAAGTGGCCAGAAGGAGATAAGAGGTACGTCCAAACCGAAACAGATTAACTAACAAGTGGCAAAGAAACCTTAATCCTTTAGGCAAAGAGATGGGGGGGGGGGATCGTGCCCATTTCACACCACCTTTCACTTGCACAGGGAAGTCTTGGTTTTATCTTTGAACAAGCAGCAAATCTATTAAATTTGAGAGGAGAAACATTTGACACTATGAGCTCCAAAATCTTAGCTAAGAGACAAATACACAAATGAATAATGTTCGGCTATATAATGTTTCATTAAAATTGATTTTGTTTTTTACTGAAAGCTTTTTTATTTCCTTGTTGCTTGAATTCCAGTTAACTGAGTGTCTAATGTAAATAGCATGAAATGGTTATAGACTTGGGGGGGGGGGGGTATTGCTACTATAGTTAAAAGGTCAGATATCAAGAGAGTAGACTGGAGCAGGAAGGAGTCCACTCTTTTAACCTTTTCTTTCCTTGTGAAACCTATACTGGTAATTGAGCAGGCCAGTCAACTTCTCTGATCTTTCTTTCCTCCCCTCCCAAACTGACAGGTTTCAACATACTCAAACCATATTCAAAACTATGTTCAATCCATGTTCAATCTTTGATCTATTTCATTCATTTTTTCTCAGTTTTTAAACTAGCATTTCTTGATAGCTGATTTTTTAACAGCCCTAACATTAATGAATTGTATTAATTGGTAAATAACTTGTTTTTGATGTGGCTTACAAACTCAAACTTGTTAATTCCAGCACAATGTGATTCCTCTCGGATGATTAAATATACAGATTCTCATATATTAAATGTGAAAAGTTAACTTCTATTATTTAAAATTCCATTTGCAGAAGACATTTTCACATTTGCTTTGACACAGAAAACAATCTTAATTTACCATCCCTCACAAATAATTTGAGAGGCTGTCGTAATACATGCTGCCCTAGATGAATCTGGAACCTAACAAAGCAATCTTTGTCACTAGTTTGAAAAGTTTACGAAAGACATTTGAGCTGCCTTCCATTAGCTGACCTATATAAACAAGGAAAAACATGGTTGCAATAGACAAAAGCCAACATTTTCAAATCTACTTTCCAACTGTACTACATATCAGAAAAGTTCAGAAAAAGATATACTGAAGAACAAACAGGCAGGGCTTCTGGGATTATAAGCATGATTCTTCACAAAGGAGGTAGGTATCCCAAGTCAAAGCAACTCTTATTTGGTACTACCTATAGTACATCAGTTTTCAGCTACAGAATACAGTAGTTAAGTGTTTTGACTTTGAAGTAAAGGAGGGATTAAAAGAACACAGTATCCATTTTACTTGGGTTAGAAGGTTTCCTTAATGTGAATTACAACCATTCACGAGAGAATTTGGGATGAAAACAAAAGCAAGCATAGAGAAGCAATCTGAAAGCTCATTTATTGGGCTCAAATGGTATGTATCTTTGATTTGCAGGCTGAGAGTGAATGGGGCAAGCTAGCTGGTCCTTTACACAGCTGCCAAAATCATTCCCCCACCAAATTTTAAAGCAGTTCTGATAATTAAAGCCAATGCCACATACACACCCCTTGCAGGAGAAAGGCCCAAGTCTGATTGGTGAGCCAGCATGTAATTCATTAATATGTTTGACTGCCATGTCAGCTGCAAAACAAGGAAAATTCATTTTGCTTTACAGTACTTTATATCCCACCTTTCTTGTCATATAAGATCCAATGTGGCTACAATTCAGGCTGTTGCTGTGAGTGATGTTTTTAATACAGATCTGTCTTCAACCTCAGATATTTGGAATGAATTTGAAAGACACTGTCATCTTGATATAAGCCTTCCAGCTATAGGTTTGGGAACTGGGCAGGGGGTAAAGCAAATGGTGTGCTGAAACTGACAGAAAGGGAGAAATCAATATTCCCCTTCCACCCAAACCTTTCCTGCTGCAAACTACAACCTCCAGAGTACACAGATGGACTGAAAAGAAAAAGAGAGTGTGTATATACTGAAGCAGATCTTGGGTTCTACAATCATATTTAGGAGTGCAGTGAAGCTGACTCATGCTTCTGGAGTTATCTGGTTTTATGTAGAATTTACTCATCTACAATCAAAACAGAGAAATACAGTATCCATTTTTAAAAACTTTCTGGCAAAACTCACATTATTATGAGTTAAAATGTATCAGTTAAGTACATACATTCTGGTTTTCATCAGTACCTGCAACAACGTGTGATTCAGCGTAACTTCCAGCTCTGCGATCCGGTGTGCCAAATCCTCATTATCTTCATGGATTTCCAAGTCTTCCTCAGGTATTGTTTCCCATCTACCTTGATGAGCTGCCAAGTTATGAACTAATTCATACTGTCCAGGTAAAGCTAAACTGATCCGTGTTTGTCTTCCATGTGTGAAGTGAATTCGACGCCTCTTGCAGTTTTCCTCACTGCTGATTTTGTTGGTAGGCAGCAGTCTGTCCCCCAAGAGCATGTTGAGCAACTGGCATTTGGCATTACAGTTCTGACCAAAGATTAAAAGGCATGGATGACAGCTTACTGTCAGCTGGAGGTACTCCTCCTCATGTCGGGGAAAGGCAATTGAACTCAGCTGCCCTAAAAAAGTGGAAGAACAAGAAACACATTAGCACTTCTATTTGTTGGATGAATTTCTATTGAAGATTTCAAAATCTCTTCTCAGTACAGAATTCTCCCCAGAAATACAAACTCCTGAGCCGGAAAGACTCTTATTTTATTTATTTCAATTACTTATACCCCGCCCTTCTCACCCCGAGGGGGACTCAGGGCGGCTTACAGAGAAGGCAGAATTAAATGCCTAAATCAATTAACAAAATATAAATACAACAAAACAATTCAACAGTTAAAGTTAAAACATCAGTACATAATAAAATATTAAAACAATCTCATGCTCGGGTTCAGAGTCCATATAACCATTCCATTCCATTTGTCGTTGTCTGTCATCAGATCTTTAATTTAGCTGCCAGTGTGTCCAAAGGCTTGGTCCCAGACCCAGGTCTTCAGTTGTTTCCTGAATGCCAGGAGGGAGGTCGCCGATCTAATCTCCCCGGGGAGTGAGTTCCACAGGTGGGGGGCCACCACTGAGAAGGCCCTGCTCCTCGTCCCCGCCAACCTCACTTGTGACAGTGGCGGGGTCGAGAGCAGGGCCTCCCCAGAAGATCTTAAACTTCGAGGTGGGATGTAGAGGGAGATCCGTTCGGACAAATACACTGGGCCGGAACCGTATAGGGTTTTGTAGGTCAAAACCAGCACTTTGAATTGTGCTCGGAATTGGATCGGCAGCCAGTGGAGCTGGCACAACAGGGGGGTGGTATGCTCCCTGTACGCTGCGGTGAGCAATCTGGCTGCTTCTCGCTGGACAAGTTGAAGTTTCCGAGCAGTCTTCAAAGGCAACCCCACGTAGAGTGCGTTGCAGTAATCCAACCGGGATGTGACAAGAGCGTGGACCACCGTGGCCAGATCAGACTTCCCAAGGTACGGGCGCAGCTGGCGCACAAGTTTTAATTGTGCGAAAGCTCTCCCGGCCACCGCTGAGACCTGGGGTTCCAGGCTCAGCGATGAGTCCAGGATCACTCCCAAGCTGCGAACCTGCGTCTTCAGGGGGAGTGTAACCCCGTCTAACACAGGCTGTAACCCTATACCCTGTTCGGCCTTCCGACTGACCAGTAGGACCTCTGTCTTGTCTGGATTCAATTTCAATTTGTTAGCTCTCATCCAGTCCGATACAGCGGCTAAACACCGGTTCAAGGTCTGGACAGCCTCCTTGGTGACAGGTGAGAAGGAGTGACAGATTTGGACATCATCTGCATAGAGATAACATCTTAGTCCGAAACTCCGAATGATCTCTCCCAGCGGCTTCATGTAGATGTTAAATAACATCGGGGACAAAATTGAGCCCTGTGGGACTCCACACAGCAACGGTTGCGGAGCCGAACAGGTGTCACCCAAAGACACCTTCTGGGTCCGTCCCTCAAGGAAGGATCGAAGCCACCGCAGAGCAGTGCCTCCGATCCCCATGTCCATGAGGCGCCCCAGAAGGATACCGTGATCGACGGTATCGAAGGCCGCTGAGAGGTCCAGCAGAACCAACAGGGACACACTCCCCCTGTCTAGTTCCCTGCGCAGATCATCTACCAAGGCGACCAAGGCTGTCTCAGTTCCATGTCCCGGCCTAAAGCCAGACTGTGCCGGATCTAGATAATCAGTGTCTACCAGAAACCCCTGGAGTTGTGTTGCCACCACACGTTCCATGACTTTGCCCAAATAGGGGAGATTGGAAACTGGCCGATAGTTGTCGAATTGGTGGGATCCAGTGATGGTTTCTTCAACAGCGGTTTTATAATAGCTTGTTTTAAGCTCGCTGGAAATTTTCCTTCCTGTAAGGAGGTATTAACCATCACCTTCACCCACTCTGCCAAACCCCCTCTGGCTTCCTTGATCAGCCAGGAAGGGCAGGGGTCTAGGATGCATGTGGTGGGTCGCACCTCTCCAAGGATCCTGTCCACATCCTCAAGCTGAACCAATTGAAACAATCCAACAAAACTGGACAAGCAGATGCTCTCGTTACATCCCCAGAGACTGCCGTTAATGTGACGTCAAAGCCTGACCGAATCCGCTCAATTTTATCAGCGAAAGATCGAGCAAATGCTTCACAGCGAGTCACCGAGTTATCCGAGGCCTCGCTTTTTGGCGGATTTAACAGGCCTCTGACAACTCGGAAGAGCTCCGCTGGACGATTCTTCGCTGATGCAATATTGGCTGTAATGAATGTTTTCTGGGCCGCCGTTATTGCCACACCGTAGGACCTTAAAAAGGCCTTCAGGTGTGTTTGAGCTGGATTGGTGGGGTTCAGGCGCCACACGCGCTCTAGCCTCCTCTTCTTTCGCTTCATCGCTGCCAGCTCCTCAGCTCCTCTTGCATGGATGCTGTTAATTAGACCAGGTAGTATCTGGCTGAGAGTCAACAAGTTTAACTTTTTCCTTTTGCACAGTAAGCAGCAAACAGAGTTGATGGCGGCAGCAACCTAATCACCAAACTTTGTGCTTTTCATCTGCAGTTTAAAATTAAAGCATTATTGTAAAATGAATCGATCCAAAAACTGTTCTGCTGAGGTCAGAGGAATGGAAAGAAACACTAGGCCTTTGCTGAAATTGTTAATTAACAGCAGCAACCCTCCACTGTGAAGAGATCCAGTTCTGTGACCTGTTACATTACTGCTTATAATATACATGTAGAGAGCTCTAGAAGACAAAATGTCAAGACAATCCATAGCATATCTGAGCAAGAGCATTGTTCGGATTTCCTTATATTTCTATTGCCAGAGCAACAACAAAAAAAAAATCAATGAAACATCATAATCAGACAACATCATAACAACATCACGGCTGAACAACAAGTGATGGGTTCGGGCTCATGATTCCTAAGTGTAATGATTCCTACATAGAGCCGGGGAAAGTACGACAATCGGAGAGCTGGGCTAGGAGGTTAATGTTATGGGCCAGGAGCATAAGTGTTACAGAAGAGACCATAAGTGGGAGAGTAACCAAGACACTATTAGGATTATGAACTGGAGCATGCAATTAGACTATACCATACACACAAATGCTTCTCAAAGCTCTCTGTTGTGGGAGATGGGCACAACATTTTTGTCCACTGGGAACAACTGTTTCTTTCTTGGCCAGCTCAGGTGACAGGCAGTCAATGGCTCAGAAACCCGCACTGGTCTGGGAACCACTACTCTGAGCAACATTGCTGCATATTATATAGTCATTTAATGTGTACAAAGTGAATGGACTTTTGTAAGACACCTTGCGAGATCTTTGCCATGAAAGAGTAAATTAGGTATTTTAAACAACCTGTGGACATCTTAACATGAATGAGGATACTAATTTAAAAACTCAATAGGTTGAAACTATCCAAGCTGTCACTTTCCATTTTGCCAATATTTTTGAAGTATTTCTTTCTTTGTAGCCTAAAATACCCTATAATAATAAACAATAAATCAGAAATAAAAACTGAAACAGTGGTGTATTTAAATACAATTTCACAAGTACAGTGAATTTTGAAATAAAACTGGTGCTTTTGTGTTCAGAGCACTCAATTACCAATATTTTGGACACCGCTGCTATTTGAATATATTTGAGCCCAAACCACTGTTTGTTCAGCCCATCTCTTGTATAAGAAACAAGTTCCCCAAATATAGAAATACACCTATATTTTCCTAGCATTTGTCCAATATTTTTCTGTGCTTGAAGGATTTGTACTCTAACGTAATTTGTTTCGATAAATAAATTATCAAGAGGACAATTATATGCCTGCTTCCCCAAAAGCTGAGTTTCAAGACTCACTTTATGGTGTATTAATATTGGACTGAAGTCACAACATAATAATCAATTGACAGTATTCAATTTCAAGTATAAATAATATTAAGATATTTACTGCGTTACACAAAATTATTTCATCTGCTTGGACAGCTCTTCCTAAAGTATTTTTCAGATCAGTTTTTAAAAGTTATTTGAATGATAATAAGACCACAATTTGAATGCACTACCATTTTGGAAAATACATCTAGATTCAAAAGGGAAATAATGACACCTCATTTATAAAAAAGGAAGACCAAGGATTGATATGCAATTTCTGAGAATGTTTGAATTCAGAAAACAAATGATACCAAAGTTATTAACAATACATCCAATGAGTGAAAATCAAATGGTATTAAAGCTTTCAATCATGTGTGTACACCACTCATTTTTTTTAGATTAAGCTGTCAAATCCCAAAATCTGTTTATCCATCTGTCCAAAATTAGATTAGGAACTTGATAGAAGAGTTGGTTCTAAATCCCAAAATTCCAGCTTTAACTGAAATCTATTAACCTCTTCTTATGTAAGAATTCAAAGAATTCCTTTGTCTGTAGCATCTGCCAGAATTATATCTTCTGAAATGTCCAAGGAAAGACACTCGGAGGTGCCAAAAGTATTACACACACACAAAATAACACTCAACGGCAATTAATTTAAATTGACTACAAGTGGAGTAATCAATCCTAAGCAACAGGAAAACAGTAGGCATTAATTAGATGCCCATTTCTTTGATGTACAATAACATCAAATAACTGGCATAGCCACCAGGCCAGGGAACTGACATGTGTGCTAAATGCAGTTAAGAGAATTACGAGTTATTTTGGTAAACCACACTCATCCCCTTTAACAACTTGAAACAGGATTCCAATTGCTGTTTCTGGGAACCCTGGTTTTCCCACATTCCTTATAGCCCGGCTCCCATGTTCTTAAATCAAGACCAGTAGGAAACCATTATCATGTCTGAAACATGCCTATTAAGAAACCCTGGTGCCCATTTCAATTTATTGTCTTGTTTTCTTTAATATTAAGTAGCCACCTTACATCTAGAAAAGAATCCATTCATAACAATAACTGTTACGTTATAGTCTGAATCTGGTATTTGATTATTACCATAGTTTGTAAGCTGCCCTGAGCCCTCCTCTGGGGGTGAGAAGGGTGGGGTATAAGTACCATAAATACATAATCCAGAACACATGAAACTGAGATGCTTTCTCTCA